GTTATGTTATGATTACGCTTATTTCTTGTTACATGATTTATTTCTTAATACTACTCGGGACCGAAGCGACTGATCGCCAAGATGACCATTTCTTACGGGGAAAACATATTTTCAAAATTCAACTTATTGTTATCAACTGAAAGTGTTAAGTTATGTTATGATTACGCTTATTTCTTGTTACATGATTTATTTCTTAATACTATTCGGTACTGAAGCGACTGATCGCCAAGATGACCATTTCTTACGAGGAAAACATATTCTAAAAATTCAACTCATTGTTTTTTATGTCTCAATAGAAGTTCAAAGCTCTATGCTTAATTGACGCTGAGTCGGAATTTTTCAAATAAATTAATAAAAGTCTTGCTTGCCCGAGACTCGAGAGTTGAACTCAAGTCCTATTAGGCATTGTCCCGATATGAGTTGACCGCGAGGTGGCGCACTTGTGTTATCCGACTTGTTACTATTATTATTATTTTTACACAGTGTAACGTCCGTAAAGCAGACGACGAATCATGAAGTGTGGCAGACCGGCAATCTATTAAGATTCCAAGGCCAAAAAAAGAAGAAGAAGAAGAAGCAGACGACGAACTTCTTTTCGCTATATAAATTTTCGCGAAAAACGTACCGTGCGCATGACGTCGCATAACACAAGTGCGCCACCTCGCGTTTAACTCATATCGGGACAATGCCTAATAGATCATCATGCTGGTGTGCTAGCGACACAGCCATTCGAATACTTAGGTGGTCTGTACATAGCATAGGGCTTTGGACTTCTATTTGTAATTTTAATAATGTATCTAATGTATCTATATTCTTTGGTTCATATAACCTGCTGTTTATTTTTGTAGACTTGCAATTGAATACCGATCGATCGAACTTTTTTTTCATGCTATAATTTTTTGTATTCTAAATAGTGTACTTACAAGGTATATCATGAGGCTTAATTTTTTTTTACACTCTGAACGATATTCAGTATAAAAATCAAGTATTATAGAATATTATTTATACGGATCATTATTATTGAAGTGGAAATCATTATAATTATTTTTAATATTATTAAATAGATATTAATAATATAAAAACATCCTTAGTTCAAAGTATGCTCTATTTATTCTTAATACTATATTATGCACTGTAATTTAGTTTTAACACCTACACGAGTCATCAAGTGCGATACTTAGGTAGCTTCAAAAGGCACTGCGCCATAATAGGCGGTTCTCCCCTATACGCACATATGAAGCGAAAAAGAAAGCCTTATAGCACATTTCTATTAGCCTCGGCTATTAAAAATATTATGCTATATTATAAAATTTTAGGCTAATATTTTAAAATAATATTATAAAATATTAGGCTCGGATCACTTAGTTATTAAGACACTCCGTTATTATTACTTATATAAATTGACACAAAAATTAATACAAATTTAAACATTGTGATTTTGCTATCGTACGTTTTTGATGTAATTCTTTAACATCAGTTCACGAAATTATATGCACTTATAAAGCTGTCTTCTACGACTACGAATGAAAAATTTTCATTATTTTGACTTTGATATGAATCTCTACATGAGTTGGACTTCTAATTTAATTTTTAGCATACAGGTGCAGCTATAAAATGTCTTCGTAGGCCTAGTGGTTTATACAAAATAATATTCATGCGGTTTTATGAGAAAAAAAACAATGCTTAATTAAGATATGACTCTGACATCTTATATCTTCTTTTTCGAGTTTTTAAAAAAATTGTATGTGTTTTCAATTTTGAATGAATGTATCGTGCTGAAGTTTTATGGGCTGAAAACGAATAATTTAATGCTTGAAAAATGATATTTTTCGTCTTGTTCGATTGTTGGCAATCTAATAAATAATTATACAAATATAGTAGGTTATCAAACAAGATTTTATTGATTAACTCCACTTCATACAGAGTATGAATGTCTTTTCATTACTTCATTTTTAGATATAGATGTTGATATTGTTAGTTGACTAAAAATGATTTGATATCTAAAAAAAAAATTACTGCCAATATTACATTGTCAACTCCTGAAAAAAAAAAAAAACACAATATTAAAAAATGTTTTTATGTTAGTTGTAATAATTAAATGTTTTTAGCGTATTAAATTAAGGAAATGTATTATTTAATTCCATTTAGATATCAAAGTCAGTTAAACTTTTGAATTTTTTTTTAATATATAAACCCAAGCTTACCATTATAGCATTAACAATATCATTTTGATTATTTTTAAGAGCCTTTATCGCCTTGCCACGGGACACACCAGCTTGACTCATTACAAGTTCAACATCCTTATCTTCAATACCAGCCTCATCAATTTCTTCTTCAGATTCCTCTTGTATAGGTGCCACAACCTATTAGATTAAATAAATTATTGCATAATTCTATCAAAATTAAATTTTTAACTACTTGGTGACTTAATTATGAACTTACAGTTGCACCGCTACCAGCTTCAACAGATGATAGAATTGGCTGTTCCTTGAACTTTTCAGCTGCTGCTACTTGAGCTTGTTGGCTCAAATCTTCAATCTATGAAATAATAAATAATTGAGTTTTGTGTGAAACTCTAAAGATTAACGAATGAATATTCAACTAATGCGTTACCTTTGCTTCACCAAAAACAATGTAGGTATCAGATGCTGGATTTTTGAAGACATCTGGTTTATTTATGATAAAAAGTATATTCTTGGATTTCCTAATAGTGACTCGGTTTACTCCCAAGACCTAAAATATATCAATAAAAAAATATTTTTAATGAAGTAACAATGAGCTTTAAATTATACATACATTAACCTGCATCAGAAATTAATTATACAAAACCATTGAAGAAGACAAAACAGTCATGGGATCAAATATTTCCCACATTAAATAATTTGTTGAAAGTTTTTATTAATAAAAGTTAGCAATTTTAATTTTTCATACAAAGTACTTAAGTAAAAATTCTAATCAAATTTTTTTTTCTTTAAGGTCAAAATATGAATTATATGTCAAAAGAATATTAAAATTTGAAATAAATGCTGCATCTTAATTGTATGTCATACAGATTATGTTAAGAAATATGTTTCGAGTCAAATAATTTTGGATCATGTTATCAAATAAAGAAAAACTTTTTGAAATACTCACTGGTTTCAATCCAAGTTTACTCATAAGTTTTCGAGCTTTTTTTTCTCCCCTGCTTTGTTTGGCTTTTGAAACAATATCAGGCATTCCAGAAATGCTAGCTCCAGCAACATCTCCGCCGGTTGTAGCATCTTCTAATTCTGGAATAGTGTCATCTGAATCAGAATCGGTAGCTGACTCAACTTTTTCATCTTTGGTAGGGTCTGATACAACAGCTTTGTTTAATTCCGTGAGTTCTGGCATGATGTACTATGATAATGTACAGATTCTATAAAATTTTTATTTACTTGCATTACTTAAGGTTATAAATATTTATGTATTTAATTAGTTTTATATGAAATAATATGGAATTATTTAATACGATTTCCATAGATTAATTACAAGTAAAAAATTAATTAGATTTATGATTAGTATTAGGTTTATGATTAATATACAAATAAAACAGTGTAACAATCTGTAAGGGATTCGAGCACTCATGTATCAAAAAGATAAAATTATTTTTTTGACTTCGTTTGTTACTTTTGAAATATATAGAATATATATTATGCTGCACTTGAAAGTGATTGAAATAAGATGTTCAAAATTCAGTCAACATTTTTAGACCAAGTTATTTATAAAACTTATCATTCTGCATAAAAGGAGAATATATAGATATCATTTTCATTTAGACAATAAGCCTTAATCAACATTTAATTTTGTTTAAAATCTGGTGATTCACATTGAGATACACTAAATACTTTAGAGTTAATACTAGCATTTTCCAGGACAATAGTGACTGTTAAGAGTTTACTTGAGCAAATATTCTTCAATGAATATTTTAACCAACGTTTTTTGGTTATTTTGCTTTGAATTTTGTTGGTTCTTTCTTAGATATCTTGAACATTTTACATACGAATAAAAAAAGGCAAGTTTAAAAGAAGTAAGGATAAATAATTATCGTTAGCATAATTGTCAGTATAATGAAAAATCAAAATGTTTAATTCATGAGAAGCTTTTTAAATTACGGCGTTAAGATTCTATTAGATGAATCACGAGGCGGTGAATGCATTTATTTTCACCATTGAAATTATAAGCATGACCAATGGTTAAAAAAAAAAGTTGAAATAAATTTTGCAGCAAAATAAAGATGAAAATTTACATAATAATAACGCGTTCATGAAAACATACATAATGAGATGCACATTAAAAAAGTTGATATACCTATAAAATTTTATCTGAAGAATCTCGTTTCTGCGCCGAGTACTAAGGAAAGTAGAGTGAGAACACGAGGTTATGGGCAATTTTGAAACTATCGTTCCCACCACCCAGTTAAAATTTGCCAATGCCTAGTTCCAAAGTCCTCAGGTCTTAACACGATTTCGTGGATCAAAAAATCACGAGGTGATCGTGGACTATGGCGCCTCCAGTATTCATCATAGCAAACATAATTGACAGTACATGATCGTAAAAATACATACATTATTGCGAGGGTATTTTTTTTTCAATAAAGAGATATTTGATCGAATTTGATAAAGCGAGGCAAAAATTCAAAAATTCATTTTTTGATTCTGTTACTCAGACAAAATTGATCATATATATATAAGTGACTGTGTTAAAGTTTCTTAGTATTTTAAACTGATTCATTTTAGAATTCTCAATTTCAAACGATTGATCTTATTCATACGAATGTATACAAAATGTAATAGATATTTCATTTTAAATGTTTAAATAAAACGACGACTTGACGCACTAGAGCGACGGGAGTGAGACAGTTCACTACCTTATTGTACTTACTCGTTTGGATTTGTATCCCACGTGGACATTTCCGGACCATTAATGCGGGTTTTCGTTGTTTTTTTTTAAGTTTTTTTAAATTTGTGCTGAAGTCTAAATATATAGGTTGATACATAAAAACGTTCTCTCATAAATTGAAAAAAAAAACATTGATCATTTCTTAATTCAAAGATGATTTATTAACAATAATTAATGATAATTATGGTATTTTTCACATACACTTTAATGAGCCTCATTAAGTTCTCAATAAATGAAATATGAAAGTTCTAAATGCTACAATATTATTATGTAAATTTATCATCGTGTGATGTTTTCAATTAATCATTGATTTTCATTTAGCTGCGACGGGTCGGTAAATTTTTCGGGAGGGCAAATTTCTTATTGCCCGCTGCTCATTTCCCATTTCTTTATCATACATGGCATAATTTCCTTGATCTGAATATTTATCAAAAGCATTATTTTCATACATCGTTTTAGCGAAATCTTCTTCCTCGTTCTCTTTATCGTAAAAATTTGTATGGTCTTTTTGTATTACGTGCCCCGATTCTGAATGAATATCCCGATGATAAGTTCCTCCATACGAATTTTTTTGATCGGGATCATCTTCTGGAGAATCTTCTTTTACGTCCTCATGAATATCATAGTGTAAAACTGCAACTGGACGTTTGGTAAGCTCATGGACGTTAATGTTAAATTCATCGTCATTTGGATTCGTTGGTACTTCAAATAATCCAAGATCATCGTCATTTACATCTTTATAACTTTGGATTCGATATTTTTCTGATGGAATTTTCAATACCACTTTCTTGTTAAAAGGCGTTGGTTTGTATATATCTTTGTTAACGAATCTTAATTTTTTGTAGTGCTGCTGACCAACATGGTTCTCTGTCAGGCTGTTATAGTTCAAAGTATTATAAGATGCCCAGTCTTTCATATAATTTTCTTCCTCGGGGGTTTTCAACACTGCGATCGGTTCTGTACCATGCAAATGTATGTAAACGGTTTTTGTATGGATATGATGTTTTATCAATTTTGGCACGTGAATTTTCAAGTGTATGCTGCAAACATAAAAGTATCTTTTATATAAAAATTAAATTTCTAGAATCACGTTCGTTAAAAAAGGGGTTGAAATAATCTAAAAATATTCTTACACGCTTTTTACATTTTGTTTTCACAGTCTTTCTTTTTTTGAAATTAAAAATTGCAAAGACTGAAATATATATTTTAACACTTGATCGAGAAAAAATACAAAAAAAAGTCTTGGAATTAGCATAATTTAATGCTGTCCAACTAAGAATGCCAATAAGTTTTTTTAGAATTGTTTGAAGACTTTATTGAAAATGAGTTGTGATTCTTTGAATTGTAGCGCGTGTTAATTGACAATTTTTTTGAAACCAGTGTGACAACTTGGTAAACTTTATGAACCAGAAAAGCGCGGGCACGATGGCAAAAATTATAACCAGTCGAAACATCTGGAAGATGGTGTATTCGAACAATGCGATGATTTTTTAGTGATTTTTATGAGTAATTATACTCTCTAGAGGCAGACTCGAATTAGCAACCCTGTCTTCTTGGAAAAAAATTTTTAAAACTTGCAAAAATACAATGTGCTGTGAGAAATAGGTTTGAATTAGTAAACTGGTTTTTCTCAATCTTACAAAAATAATGATTATCTTAAAATTCAAAGTTTTTTAACCGTTGAAATTCAAAAAAAAATTCAAAATTAAATGGATATTTTTTTTCCAATGTTTTTAAGAATTTTTCAGAGAAATTAATTTTCAAATTTTTTTTTACTCAAGTAATATAAGATTTGAACAACAATCTTATCAAAAATTTGAGCATAATCTTTTTTACTTTTTAGAATTATCTACCACAGACAATTATTTTCTATATTATTTTACTCGAAAATTAGACTTACGCTTAGCCTAGTAAAGCTAAGAGGGTATAGATAATGTGAGGATTCTTATAAATCTTGATTTATTGAACTTACTTATTGCTTCCATCTTCGGTTAATATACTGCTTATTAATAATAATAAACTTAGTAAGAAGTACAAAATTCGAAACCATTTTACCATATTGTTGACAATGAAAATAAAACTTTTTAAATTACATTTCGATGAAATGTTAAAATAAATTAATATTTTAAAAGTGTAATATATAATAATTTCTGCTGCTATTTATAAGATCTTTATGATTTTCAAGTGCAGCGAGTGGTTTTATATATGCTGTAGATGCATGCTGATTAGATAGTTTTACTATCGACGAAGCATTAAAGTGAGAACGATAATAGATGAGAAAAAGCATGAACTTTAAAAGTAAATTATATTATCAGTATAAAATAACTGTTTTCACTTGCCCTATTTTCACGCTTACTTCAATAGGTATTCGATTAAAAAGAGTCAAAAAAACGTTGGAAATTCATGCTATACGGAAAGTGTGTCTAATGCGACGAAAGTATTAAAAGTGAAATCGAATCGTTGATAGTCAATTCGAAAAATACTACAATTAATTTCAGATTTTTATTTAAAGTAGATCCTATATTTTTGTGCTGTATACGTTTTATAAGATTGATCTTTATTCAAATATCTAATCCGTTGTAACAAATCTTTGGAATCATTAAAAAAAGTTTTTACAAAATTAAAAAATTACTGCAACGAATCAATGTAGTTGCCGATTTTTTCAAATAGAAAGTGCAGGCATTTTTAAGAAAAAATTAAGTTTGACGATTATCGTTAAAATACTTTTTCAATTAAAATTGAAACTATTTTGATTATGATTAATGCAAGTGGTTTTGAGATACTCCATTTACTTAAAAATAAATTCGATTTATTGTCTATTACATCTTCTATAATATTTCAGAAATCCTGGAAAATGTAAGATTGATAGAAGCTTAATTTATAGATTTTTTTTTAATACCTTCATAAATAAAAACCTCATTGAACTCATACAGGGCAATCAAAGAAATCTTGATACAGCCGATGCATGTGGGACTTCAAATGTGTCAAAGTAAATAGTAAAATTAATTCATTAATGATAAAAAATGGAAATTTTTTTAAAAATTAATGAAGAAGAAAAGTAAATTTTAGTCCAACAAAAAATAATGCATAACTCATAAAATATTTGTTTTCGTAAAAAATGTTTCTTTTTCTGATTTATTGTATTTTTAATAATCATTCTTTGAGTTCATGAAGATATTAATCATATATAACTCTATTTCTCGATCAGTAACAGTTTATACTTACCCTTATAAGAAGTGACAATTGCAAAATGCGCAAGGCAGTTTCTCTAATTTAGAAATATTGACGACGAATCGAGCAATGAATCATTACTTTCATCGCTAACTCATTATATTATTATTTTGCAGAAAATTATGCCATAAATATTAATGAATGACACAGAGTACTGCCAAATAAATTACTTACCATATGAAAAATTCCTTTGAAAATGCGTAAAAAAATGTGGCTCCCACACTGTGAGCCAAATGCTCAATATGTATAAAGCGGCAGTTATACAGTCATGAGTGGACTTTTTTGTACACCATGTATGTAAAAAGCAGGATACTCTTAGCATAAATCAAGTTTATTTTGTTGCTGATGAATAAATGATGGAAGTAACTCAAATAAGGAAACAGATATCTTGAATTTGTTTGATTGAAATTATTGTAATTTGTTAAGAACAAAACATATAAATAAACTCAAATTTTAATTTATTAGCATGGAAATTTTTTCAATGAACATTCATTAAGGTAACGCAATTTGTATAAAAATGTCTAATCTATACAGGAAATATGTGACTAAAATACAGTTTTAAAATTAATGAAAGCTTAATAGCCGCCATAGGGATGTTTTGCTCGCATTCTTCGACCTCTTAAACTTCGTGAACGTGTCCCATCGTTAGTTCCTCCTCTAGAAATTCCTCTATTTGTCATCTGACCTGAAACAGAAGTAATTTTTAATTTAGCCAAATAATTTTATTTGTCGCTTTTAGATAGTCCAGGGCCTAAGTGTTTAATCATGACAAAAAAGATAGAATAGGAAAAGGGAAATTGCTAGACTTGCTAGACCAAAATTATTATTACTGTCTGAAGTGCACAAAGGAAGTCGTCAATTTGGGATAAATTCAAAAGTATGGACGAGGATAGTGAATCCAGTGTCTATGTAGGTAGACAGTCAGAAAGACAAAAGAGGCATTTATTAATTTTTATCTGTTATTTTCAATTTAAAAACTTGAATATTAAAATTAAATAAGTTACATTGATTAGTTTGTGGACCTATTTTTTTCTGTTTGAAAACGCTTGTGTTCAATGTTTTCATGTTGAGCAATAGATACTTATGAATTAACTTTTGGAACTGTAATTGTTTCCCCATATTAAGAATTAGAAAAATGGAAAAATAATTTTAATATCATAATCAAGAAGATAATCAAGTCACAAATAAAGCACATAAATAGCTATAAAAATAACATTAACTTGTGAGGAAAAATTAAAAAATTTTCACAATTAAATGAATCTTTTTTAAGTTGTTTTATTTACCTCGTGATGGAGATTGTGAATCCCACACAATTGGAGTTGGCCGAGTTCCTCGACTTGCTCTAAAAGACGATCTCGCTGATCTTCGAGTTGTTACTCCTCTCATTGGCATTGATGCATTATCAGAAGACAGTTCAGAAGCAGGAGTAGCTTGAGTGATATCGGCAGATGATGCTTCAGCTTCAGAATTATATTCCCTCGATTCGTTATTACTCGTGTCATCAGGCGTAGTTTGAGACTGTTGTTGTGTTGCTGTTTCTACGGTAGGCTGAGAAAAGCTACATTCTTCTTCAGGTAATGGATTGAAAACTTTGTCCTCTGTAAAATAGAGTTTAATATTCATCAGTTATCAGAATGATCAAAGTATTTTAAAATTTTTAAATTGTGATTTTAGATTTGTAATTAGCAATACCAAAAAAAAACCTTGAATAAAAATTTTTAATTTATTTTGCAATGTTTTTTGTAAAATTGATTCTTCAAAATTGAATTTTTTTTACAAAAGGCATTTATAACACTTGTTTACTTAAATGTTAATTGTAATAATGAAGTCATATAAGCTATATTTTTATCTTTCTATGGTAATAAATTAGGAATTGAAACAAAAAAGGGTGCAATACATTGACAACTAATTAAAAGGAAACAAATCTGAAGTTCGGTAAATATTAATTCAAATGTACACCATGCATAAAGCTTTAAGGAAAGTGAAAAGCGATCCAAGCCTTAATAATTATAAATATTACCTGTAGGTTGCTCATGTTCGTCTGAGGATTTGACTTCCGTTTGTTTACAAGGAGATTCTTCTAAATTATTAGAAGTTTTAGAATCACTACTTGCTTCGGCACACTGACGTAAATCTTCTTCAGGTACTACAGCTTGTGATAAGCTTGGTACGTTGCTTGGCTGATTTAACATCTACAAAAGGTATAATGAAGTTATTATTAGTAGATTTCGAAAAATGAGTAGTTCGTCTCAAAAACTGATTTCTTATATTTAGAGATCGATTCGATTTTGATCTATTGATTTATATAATTAAACGAATTAAAAATTTTCGTCAATAAATCAAAATAATCATACTTGGTCAGTGCTAGTAATGAATCAAGTTAAACCAAAAAATATGTAAAAAATATTATTCTACTACGCTTGGTTCAAAAATTTGTTTTAAGTTGACTTTTAGGATTTCGATCCAAAAGTAAAAAAAAATGGATGGGGGCGAGGAAAAGTAGGGATAAGATTTAATGTACATATACATAAAATAATGGGAATATTCTTTTTATATTGTTTTGTTAAATTTAAGACAAATAATTTATTTAAGAATATTATAATTACTCACTAAAATACTATCTTCGTTGGGAGAATCAGATTGCTGTGTAATTGGCTCATTTGGAGCTTGATTTTCATTGTCCAATTCCGAAAGATCAACTCTTGAATCATCAATGCCATCGTGGACGATTTGGGCTAAATCAGAGCTGCAAACGTTCATCATGCTTCTTGAATTACTAAAAGATGCCGATGATTGTGATTGGACTAATGATGATGTCGTCGAAGTGGAAGAGTCTCCAAACGTAAATCTTGTATGAGGCACTTGAGGCGAGCTAACAGTTTCTCCAAAACTATCAATTCGTCGAGGTACGAAAAGGGTAGGAGTACTAGGTACTATACAATCATCACCGATATCATCAAATCCTTGCTGTAGGAAAGTAAATAATAAATTTATTACCATCAAGTGAATAATATAATATTGTAAAGATGATACAATTTTTTATCAAAATTATTATTCCGAAAACAGTTGAGTTTAACGATTATAACGTTGAAGTTTAAGCATACATGTTTAATTTTTTCAAAAGCACATTTTTTGACTGGGTTTAAAGGACACTATTGCAAAAACAGAAAAACTTCAGAAAAACTTTAAAATTTTCTGCTTAAAATTATTTTTTTCCATACCCATGTGACTTGATGTGTGGTTCATTGTTTTTTTCAAGGAATATTTAAGCATACTTTCTTAAAAATTCATCACAAAGGGGACAAATCGCACTTTTATCAAGTTTAACGAAAACGACAAAATTACTCGTTCGATCTCTGTACAAGAAACGAATTGTACGCGATTCTTTTGATGGAGCTCAAACGATATGCTCCGAAAGTTACGAAAGGTGACACAAAACCATAACTTTCCAGAATACGCAGAAGAAAAAATTTAATACGCACAGAGAAAAATTGAAATTTTGGAGCGTTGAAAGGTGCAATAGAAAAGAAAGAAAAACTCCTACTCAAAAATGTCATAAAAAAATTATTGATTTCAAGGTGTGTATAAATCCTTAATCTCTCAGAGACATTAGGTGTTAAAGTTCATGGAACTGTATACAAAAATATAACTTAATTTTACGTATTTAATTAATTTAGATAGATGGATTGAAATTACAATTAATTATAAAAAATGGAATAATTAACTTATTAACATACCAATAAAAGTTGTGGTTGAGGCCTTTGCATGTGTCCAATACTTCGCGTCATTCTTCCAACGAATGAGGAATCTCCCGCTAACCCAGCACTGCTTATAGCCTCAGACTGATGTATAACATCACCCGAAGTGTTCGATTGTAAGTGTCTAGAAACGTTTTCATTGGCAGATTCGTCAATAATTATTTCTACTTCGTTGTTTCCTTCGCCAACCTCGACGCTAAAAGGTAATTCTTCCTCTTCTTCAAGTTCACCGTAATCTTCGTTATCAAAATCTTCTTCTTGAATAGTTTGGTTTTCAGGACCTTCATCACAATCTAGCATTCCACAGTTTTCCTCGACGTCATCGTCTTGATCTCTTTGACTCGACGTAGGAACCTGAAATAGATATGAATGGTTACTAACGGAAAACTAGTCGATAATGAATAAGTACACCATTAAAGAAGATCCTAAATAATTTTAGTTGACTTATTAATGATTTTTAAACTTATATTCAAAAATATATAAAACTATAGAATTCTCTTTAAATCATTTTTCTTCTTATTGTTTTTTCATTTGTTATAATATTTGAAAAAAGTGTGCCTTTTAAGAATATCAAAAATAAAGGATTATTTATTTGATTTTGAATAATAAAAATCTATAACGTCAGTATTATGTATGAGTATCAGTTCACGAAAACGAACTAGTATTCTCGGCCAAAAACACGAGCACACCTTTTAATTTTGTTATTAGTTCAGACTTCAAATTTTTATAGTAGTTTTTTTATTTCATTTACTAAATTTTAAATAATGCACTTTTTTTACCTGATATTCAACGTCCAAAGCACTGGCTACAATAGTAGAAGTCATAGTCTCTTGTTTACTTTTTTTGTTCTTCGGACTAAGAATTGGTTCCGATCTCGAATGGTCGAGTGTTTCATTCAAATTTACTCCAGTAACAGTCGATTCAAATGAACGTGGCCGTTTATGGGGTATGTTGGTATGCGAGGTACTGACTGATTGAGTTGAGCTACTTGGTATAGTTTGTTGTTGCTCATTTGTCAAGGATTGCGTTTGTTGATGCGCTTCTATGCGGGGACTTACTAAAGCTACGGCTTGGGATTGATTCTGTTGCTGTTGCAATTGATTTTGTAACGTTGTTCCTGTTTCAAAGGTATCGGTCTCTTCGCGCTGCGTCGACTCGGCTGAATCTCCTAAATGAGATTGCAGAGTATGCTGTCGACTTGTGCTAGCTGGTTGATAATCCATGTGTGAGCTAGTAGGTGAACTAGTTTCCGTTGTATGCACAAGTTGTTGAGATTGTTGTGTTATTAAATGTACAGAGGTTCCAACAGTAGTAGGTAATACGGCCGCGGTTCGAGATTGTACAACTACACTCATCGGGCGTATGCTAGCCAACGGAGTCTCAGTTCGGGCAGACATTGGTTTTATATTGGCCGTTGGTGGATCTGTTGTTCCAATACCAGAATTGATTTGTCCAGAAAGTTGGCGTTGTAATAACACAGCACGCTGCAATAAAACTTCTTTTTCCGCTTGAAGATCCAATCGCTCATGTTCTAAGCGTGAAATTCGACTTTCCATTTGAGATTTCAGAGCCATCAATTTAGCTTCGTATTCACTGGCATGAGATTCATTCTCAGTTGTACTCGAATCTAATTTTTCTTTCAACTCAAGCATTTCCTTTTCACATAATTTTTTATATTCTGTTAATTGCATTATTTTAGTTCTTGCCCCTTTGAGTACTTGCTTGGCACGTTCTTCTTTTTCGATGTTGGCGTTATTAATCTGTTCTATTTCCCGTTTCAAATCGTCCGATTCAGATTTTGCAGAAAGTATTTGTTGATTCAAATCGGTGAGTTTTGCATTCAACTCTAAGTTTGTTTGTTGCAAATTCGAAATATTTTCTGATTTTTGTTCGGAATCAGATGTGCGTTCTTCAGTAAGTTGTACATTAGTTGCATCTTTCTTTGTTTCATCGTCCCTACTTTTCATTAAATCTTCGTATTGTGTTTTATATTTTTTTGCTATTTTACGAATTTGTATTTCTTTCATTTTAATTTCGGTTAGTGATGATTCTTTTTCAGTAAGTTCTAATTTTAACGAATCAATTTCTTTATTTTTGCCAGTTATGTTGAGCAATGACTCTTCAATTTCGTTTTTCATCTTTTGGTTTTCATTAGTCAGTAAGGCAATTTTATCTTCGTACGTTTTCAGCTGCGTTTGCAATTGGGTAATTTGATCTTCTAAATTTTTCTTTTCACTTTTAACTTTGTCCAATTCTTCTGAACGTTTTGAAACTGTTTCTTTTTCCTGAGATAATAGTTTAGAAAGATTATCGCGTTCATTTTGCAAACGACGCCAATCTTCTGGGCTAGCTTTGTTCGATCGTTCAGTTAAAGCATTAGCTCTTTGACGCCAACGCAAAGCTTCGGCCTTTAAGCTTGTGTTTTCTTGTTTCAAAACATCAACTGTTGCTTCAAGTTCGGTACTTTTTTCGCGTAGAGGAGTTATTTCATCTAATAAACTATTGAGTTGATTAGTTGAATTAGTTACTTTTGAAAGAAGTGAATCTCTTTCTTCGCGTAAAATACGATTAGAATCAGTAATGGCATTTAATGTTTCTATTTTTCTTAAAAGTTCGGAGTGTTTTGATGCTGTTACAATATCTATTTCACTCTTTTCTCGTTCCTGGTCGAACAATTCTTTCATTTCTTGATTTTTTTTAGTACATAGTTCTATTTGTGATTTTAATCTTGAATTTTCTGACTTCAAAACATCAAATTTAATAACAGCTAAGTCTTTTTCGCGACGAAGATACTTTATAACTTGAAGTAACTGTTCAGTTGAATTTGAGGGCTCTTCACTCATCAGTGGATTACTCACTCTTGAACTCACTGAAGAAAAACTGGAATTCATATCAGATTGTTGGAGGGTTTGCATTAAGGCAGTTTGTTCACTGAATTCTTGAATCGTATTGTGTAGTATATTATTTTGATCAAGTACATCATTCAATCTTTCTTGTAATTCTCTGATTTCGAAAGAAAATTGTTGTTGTCGATCATGCCACATTGATTTTTCAAGTTCTAAAGCTTCTTTGGCTAGATTTTCTTGCCGTGAAAATAATGAAATTTTATTAAGAAGCTCTTGGTTTTCGACTTTTATTTTAGACAATAATTTTACGTCATCGGAATGTGAAGACATTTCTTTTGTGAACTTGTTTTCAAGTTCTGAAATATTAGCGTAAGCTATTTTTAAGTTATTTTTACTTTCTTCTAATTCGGATTTCAAGTTACTAAGTGCTTTTAGTTCACGTTCAGCACTAGCGAGTTTTTCTTTCAAATTTTTATAACAAAGATTCGAGGATGTAGAATTTTCCATGTTATCATTTTGAAGTTTCTCCAAGTTCAATTTTGTCGAATTTAATTCATTTTTCACGTTGCTCAGTTCATTTTCCAAAAGTGTTTTTTCCTCTTCATATTTTTTAATACTTTCCCTTAAGTGTGATTCAGAACTTTCTGCAATATTACAATACTGTTGTCCTTGAGCCCTAGCAGCTTCCAGTTGACTCAATAGAGACTTTATTTCAGTTTGGCAGTCAGCGTACTTGGCCTCCATGTTTTCAAGTTTTTTTCTCATTTCATCGTCGTCTGTGAAAATAGTAAATTGTACAGATTGATATTATCAATACATATTCTTATTTTATATTAGTCAGTAGTCTCACATCCTCCCGATCGTTGAAATATTAATAAATTAAAAACTAAGGGTAATCGCCACGAGTTATTCGTTTTTTTCAATATTTTTATAAGAAAATTTACTTTAATAGTAAAATTGAATAAATGTAGTAGGTCTAGTAAAGTAATGAGATAAAATAATATACAGAGAATAAAGAATAGATAAAACGATTTAATATCGATGTTCAATGTCTCATGCAAATATTAATATATTGAAGTTACCTTGCTGCGGCATTCGGGTTGCAATTTTCGTCATTTCTTTCAATTTCATATTTAATTGATCAATATTTTTTACGTATTCTTCTTCTACTGAACGTAATTTAGTGAGTTCTGACTCGATTCGAGCAGTGATGTGTTTCTGTTCTTCAAGCCGTTGATTAGAAGTCTCAAGTTGTCTTTCTAAATGAGCAGTATGATCGCGGAAATGATCTTGTTCCTCTTGCAAACGTCGCCTCAAAGCTGAACATTCACGAATGGTATCATCTAAACGTTGTTCCGTTCGGTGATTACTTTCGGCATTTACCCTCTCTAAACTTGCCTTGATAGATTCAACATCAGCTTTAAGAAGGTCATGAGTATGCCTCTCCCGATGTAATGCTTCTCGCTCTTTCAAAAGTCTGTTTTCAGAATCTCTCAAAAGTTGCTTTTCTTGCTTAAGATTTTCTAATTGAATTTCTGCTTTTGACAGTCTATTCTGAGCAGATAACGTTTCATCTTTCAAAAGTATTAAGCTTTGTTCGTGTTTGCCTGCAGCAGAATGTCAAAAATTTAGTTAGAATAATGTAATATTAAGAATAACAGGCAGTATTCAAATTAATATAATTTATTAAAAATCGGATGCATAAAGGAGTTCATAAAGGAATTTATATAAAATCGAAATTAAGATAATTTTCATATAAAGCTAGAAATTATGAACACTCAGTTTTTTTCAAAGTCAGTTCAAGGTCTTAGAGTTTAAATTGAAGTGTCTTTTCAAGGAAAAATTGGGGAACGAATTTCTAGAGATTTTTAAGTTTTGTATAAGAATTTTTTCCTGAATAAATAAAATCAAATAGTTTAAAAACTATTGACAATAATTTCTAAAAAAATTCCAGTAAGAAAATCCATGTTAACTTTCAATTAGGAATTATTTCAAACTTTCTTTAAAAAATTGTCAACTAAGTGTATAGATTTTTTGTATTTTGAAATAATGATTTTTAAATTTTAACTGTAAGATACTTACTGATGGTTGCTATGTAACAATTGCATTTTTCTTCCAACATTTTTATTTGAGTTTTATGGGATGCAGCACTGGATTGCAACAGTCCAAAGCGTTCAGTAATCGACTCTAACTGGGCTTTAAGCATACAACTTCGAGTTGAGTATTTTTCACAATTTTCACGCAATTTTTCTATTTCATCATTCAGTAATTGTACATGAGCTACTTTTTCTTTTTTATACAGATCAAATTCCTTCTGAATATCTGTATATTTTGTCTCTAAATTGTTATACTTCAGCTGCAGGTCTTGTAGATCTTTCGAGTTTTTAAGTTGGGAAGTATTTTCTTGTTCATTTTGATTAGTATTCTGGCTTTTCATTTCCACAATACTCTTTTCTGACGGCAATTGACCCGCTTGGTTTTTGTACATGTTTTTATACAAATCACGTTGCCTCAATATTTCTTCTAACATTTTGGCTTGTCTACTTTGAGCTTCTTGCATATCTGCCAATTGCTGAACATATCTAAAATAAATCACATAATCATATTATTACATAATACAAATAAAAAATAACACAATTTATAATGAGCAGATTAAAAATTTAAGAGTACGTTTGTCTACATAAAATTAGCCTTACAAGAAAACTTGCATTAACAAAGTTAGAGCAAAAGCATAACTACGTAAGGAATTAAAATTTCAACAAAAAAATTATTAAAATACAAAAAAACACATTTTAAGAAGAAAATTAATGATGCTGCTATCTTGAATTTCGAGAAAAAATATTCTTGAATATCAGAAATATTATTACTAATTTATTAAAGCAATCATGGTTATGCAATGTTTTTTTATTATGCCTCCCAGCCCGACACCGCAAGGCAATTACAATCTATCATTCAGTACGATTAATCACAATAGGAAGCTCTTAATGCATTCTAACTTTCAAAATTGTATTTTCATCTATAATCATAGAGATATGAACTCTTAAGGTACATTTAATTTAATTTTTAAAAACAAGTAATTAATTTCACGTTACTCATGGCACTTGTACCGTAAATTACCATTTTCGCGAGTAAAAAAAGCTGCATAATCGCTGTGCTAAAAAATTGTATGTGGAATTTTTACCAATTTTTTCATTAAAATAGTTATTTTTTCAAAAACAATGAAATTTGATCAATTTTGTTAAGTGAGTTCATTTAAATATAAGCACTTATTGAAGATTTAATTAAATATAACAATTAATATTAAAGTCTTATTTAATAATTCTAGTATACTAATTTAATTAGTGCAAACTTAGATATCCTCAAAACATGAAAAGGAAAGCTGCGGGTGGATAGAACTTTTAAAAAATCTGTGAGCAAACTTAACGACAAAGTATTGGTAAACTGTTGAAAAAATTGGCGCGCTTTTTGGGATATGTGACTTTTTATATTTTGTACACACATATAAGTTTAACTACGAGTTAGTAATTATTATAAAAGATGTTACAAATTATAAAATACATTAAAACTTTAAAAATGTCTAGTTTCGCGAATTTTTTCAAAAATATCAACTATTGTTGTTTCAACTTCAGGAGAGATGATTAGATTGATATTTTTGCGTAATTGTTCGATTTCTGAAGGAAACTATTACAAGAGGTTGCATCAGAAGCTATTAATAATTTAAAGAATTAGGCGAAAACGAAGCTAAATGGTTTTCTCTAGATATTGAATCATGTTCATTTTTATGATGTATTTTAATAAATTACAATGTATCATAGTTTACCTTGAAATTTTTTCTCGCATTTCTTCTACATTTAGTTTGTTAGTTGTTTTTTCAGTTTCTTCTTGCCTCGACGACAAGGTTCGTACTAAAGACAATAATTTTTTATTGTTTTCTTGGAGTTCTTCAATATTTTTGAAAGTAACTAACTGTTTGCTTATAATACGAGAAGAAACCGAAAGATTTAAGTCCATTGAGCAATCTCTGTCTAATGATTCGTTATTTATCGGTACACGAGAATTCTGCACTTCTTGCAATAAATAGCAAACTTGACGAGCTAAGTCTTTAATTTCAGTTTTCAACCTCTGGTTTTCAGCTGCATGATGCTTGACTAGTCTATCTGCTTCTTTAGCATTAACTTGCAGGTTGTCATTTTCTACGATTAGATCATCTAATCTAGAAGTCAATTCATTTACATTTTTCATGGCCTCTTCGTAGTTGCGTTGTTGAAGTTTTATCAAAGGAGCCTTTTCTTCCAGCTCTTTTAGAATCATTTCCATCTGGTACTTTAATTTACTATTTTCCTCTTTTTCAGAAGTCAAGGCATTCGTTGTATCTACATATTGAGTGTATATTTGGGTTAAACTCAAACCTTTTTTCAATATTTTACTTGCTACAGCTGCTGTTGGAGCCAATTCCTCGATACTTTGGTCCAAATTCGCTGAAAAAAGATAATTTAAAATATTCATAAGTTTCCATGATTGGAAAAATGATGATTAAAGTCAATTAAATTTTTATCTGAAATTAATAAAAACCCCCACCAATACTTTAGCAATTAGCTCCCTTCCGACATTTTTAAGTACATTCTAAATTTAATTAATAAATTAAAAGAGGTTTGTTAACATTTATGTACTCTTTTAATAGTTATTCCTTAAGCAAAAAATTTGTTATGGAACATTTTTGGCCCGATTTTGAGAAAGTAATTTCCGTATTATCAAGTTGAACAAAGTAGTAAATATCACAATTGTTTTACACACTTTCAAGCTTAAGCTTTTTGCAAAACCTGTAATTGATCCTTTAAGTTATATTCAACTCGAGAGTTGTATTTAGTGCTACTACATTTATACTATGAACTCTAACGAATTCTGCCAAGATCCCGTAAATACAGGAACGTAAATAAAAAATGTAGTGCATTTTTCTGTAATATTAAATAAATGAAATATTCGGGTCGATTCATCTCTGAAATAATGAATTTCAACTTCGTTAATCTGGTATGTAAAGCCATTGCATTGGGGATGCGTTGTTTCATTATTTAAAAGTATTGGAGATGCTTACAACTTAGAAATGGCCGTTTTATTATAATTTTCCGAGTGGTGCAAGACTCTAACAAAGAAGAAATAGTTTTTTCGAGTCGTTTTGGTCGCGCTTCGTTTTTATGGTAGAAAAACCCATCACACCATATGAAAGATCCCCTTTTTAAAATAATGTTAAGCACAAGTAAGTCGTGTCATTCGCCATTGGTAAAATTTGACAGCAGAAATTCAAAAGTGTAAAAGTAATCTTTACAAGCACGGTTACATAAAACGATCTTAATTGTTAACTATTTTCAAGTATTAATTCGGGGAAAAGCGTTGGTGAACTATTACACTTGACGTAAATTAAAATGAGTAAATTGAAAAGATTAATATTACCTTTTTGAAGAGATTCTATCAAATTGCGAGAATCGAGTAATTCTTGTTTAATTTCATTCATTTTTTGCATTTCATGTTCCATCTCATTTTTATGTTCCATGATAGTTTGATGATGTTTCGTTTCCAATATACCATATTGCTCAGTTGCTTGTTTCAACAATACTTGCAGTTCAGTAATCGCTTTTCCATATTCTTCGGCTTTTTCGTTTGCTTCTTCGGAAATTTTTTTGAAAATTTCAGCTAATTTTTTCTGAGATGATATTTCTTCCTCATATGAGGCATGCATTGTCAATTCATTATTTCGTTGTTCTTCCAACTTTTGATTCAGTTCTTCATTACGTTGATTCAAAATTGAATTATTGTTTTGGAGATTTGTAATTGTTTCATTACACACTTTCAAATTTTCTTCACATTGCGACAAACGCGATTGAATAAGTAACAAATGTGTAGACGAATCTGATCTAACATTCTGCAATTCCATTGTGCGTTTAGCTAGCTCTTCTTCCAAACCGGAAATTTGTTGAACCAGAATCGTTTTTTCCTGATGAAAACGTTTTTCTCTACAAAAAAATGATAACGTTTTATAAAAAAAAGAGATTTTGCGGGTAACGAATATGGCAAACGCGTTGTATATAAGGGGCGTAATGCCATAGCTCTCTTTGTCATGCTTGCCAGAGGGAGCGCGAACGTGCTCCTCAATAACAAAAACGTCTCCGTTGTACATTTACAACTAAACTTTAAGAATAATTTAAAAATTTTAAAATAACTCGATTTGTCACCAATCACTGAAAGCTCGGTAATGAGTAGTAGATCAATTTTTCGAGCGGAAGATAAGTTCTCACTGCAATCAGGCCCAAAATTACGGCACGCCAAAAAATTTAACTTACGGCACTTGTATCGTTAATTACTGTTTCATAGCTGCGTTCAAGTAAAATTTAAAGTAATTAAAGTACAGGTGAAAAAGAAAATAATAGGCGTTACAAAAATATTGAAGGACGTTTCAAATTATGTAATTTTAAGAAGTAATATAATATTAATTAGTGGCTTCAAGCAGTTTCATCATTTAACAGCTTAAAATTATTTCAACAGTAATTATTACGAGCTTCGGATTGGTATCATGCGATAAAATAAGTGTTCAGTATTCTTTGTAAGGGACGTACCTATATTCCAGAGACAGTTCCTTGCTGCGAATTTCTTCGGATTGTGCGAGAGCATTGCATTTTTCTGTGATGGCCTTTTCCAACTGAGCTCCTAGAGACGCGAGCTCCTTATTCAGGCGATTCAGTTCAGCTTCTTTGCGGTCTAATTGAGAATGAAGAGTATTGCTTTCTTCTTGGACAACATCTCTTTGCTTTCTCAACTCGGAATTTTCTCCCTCTAATCTGTAACCGAATTTGTATTTTTAGCTTTCTTTATTTTCATTAATAATACATTTGATTGGCTTTAACATGGTTACGTATAGAAACATAAATTTAACGTCAGTCTGGTCTATATGAAGAAATCATGAAAAATTTTTTAATTCGTTGAAATGATAAAAGTTTAGTTAATTTTTATTAATAAGATTACAGAGCTAGATTAGCTAAAAAAATGACTTTTTATTATAAATTTTCCACCACGATTAAATTTTTTAAGGGTCATAAACTCATTGGGACATTATTTATATTCCTGTATCTGCGCAAAGCGGGAAGAGCATTTTTCGGGTCACTGGGTATAAAAAATATTACAGGTACTATGGCACTTTTCTGTTTTTCGATATAAAAGGGGGTGGGGATAAGGAGAGCAAAACTTAAAATAATACTAAGAGACACTCTAGTATAAATTCGGTTTGCTCGTAGGTTGGCGGGCGATGGTTTGGCGGAAATTTTGAGCGTGGATAAATAATGATGAGAGAACTGTAGTCAAGCAACGCAAACCTAAATGTCTGCTGGCGCTTGGGTCTGCACGCGCTTCAACAGCAGTGTGGAAGTCGTACCACGAGTTGACATTGTCGTTTATGTTGTAAATAGTATTTAAGTACATAAATAATTCATGAATTTTACCTTTTTATAGTTGCTTTGCTTTGAAGAACTTCGGCTGACAAATTTTCTATTTGCCCATGAAGATCATTCGTGTATCTCTTAGCTAATTCTAATTTTTCTTCGCATTTTTTCAAGTTTTCTTGACATGATTCGTTGGTTTCTTCCAATTTTTTTACGTCACGTTCTGAAACATGGATTATAATTATTATTTCAAAATTGTTTACAGAACTTAATGATGTATGCAAATATTTTTAAAATTCTTTTTTTTATTATTTATACATACATGATTCGTTTCATTGGTATGTTCAAGATATTATTGCCGGTGATTTTAGTATAAGACCTTGGGATAAAAATTAAATTTTCAAGAGTACAATCTGCATTTTGCTTCATAAAAAATGAAGCTCTCTGATAGGCTCAAAAACGAGGTTTCGAACCACGCATCACAGGTCAATTTCGTTTAAATATTTGTCACCTAAATTGAATTCCCAAAAACTATCCGTACGTATGTGCGTATAATCATCCCATTTCTCAATTTTATGGCTAAGATTGAAGGGCGATAAACAATGAGGGTGTAAATTATTTATGCAATAGTAATAACACTGCTGCTTTAAGTATATTTATGGTTGATGTTATATGTTTGTCGCAAAACGTCAAAAAAGATTGCCTACTAGATATAAGACCAAAATGCAGACCAGTATAAGCAATAAGGTGGTTTTTCCTGTGTTTTCCTCGAGAAAAAAAATTCATGAGGTGCAAGGAAAAATTTTGCATTCCGGGCGCCGTTTGGCTCCACAACAAATAACCAGTATAAAACCAATGTCATTTTGAAGTTTAAACATTTATGATTTGATGAGTTTTTGAGGTAAACCAGGAACGCATTGGAAATTTTTTTTATCGAAAAAAAAAAAAAAATAATAGAAAACGCGAAAAAACTTTTTATCTTAAAACCAATTTTTCATTATGTTAACAACATTTAATCGTATTTGAAACACTATCAATGAAAATGAGAACCTCTAAACTTTCAGAATAATATCATTCCATTTTTTTAATGCCAATCGTGTAAGTTGTACAGATTCGAAGTGAGTCACATTAATGCGGTCCACGAGAATTAATTCAAAGAGATCATAGAGTGAAACTTGAAAAATTGGATATATGGGCTTAATTATTTACGAAAAAAGAAAACAGGCATGATTTCACAATAAGGCAAGAGAAAACAGTGATCAAAGTTTGACATTTCAAGATGCGTTCTTAAGACATTTTAAGGTGCGAGTTTAAGATCTTTTCAAACTTCATGAAAAGCAGCAGATATTATTCCCGACACTATTGTAAGTATTGGTCATTCTTCTTCTTTTTTCTTTGGCCTTGTGAGCGCTGTACAGCGCCCCCGAACTGCCAAAGTATTGGTCATTACTTAACTCAAATTCAAACCTTGAGAAAACTATTGTTTTCAAACTAACATCGGAGAGAGTTAATAAAAAGAAAATATATTTTCAGGTTAAGATCAAATTGTTTACACTTTTTAGTAATAGGTAGCGATTTTGTGAATGAAGAACTCGTTATAAATAATAATTACGAAAAAATAACGTAAAATAAAGCGAGGTTAAAGCAGTTGTAGCCCACAAGAGAGGTGGAGGGGGTAAGTGACCGTTCCAAGAGTCAGACTTGAATAGGGGTCTAGCGATGTCGCAGCGCAGCGTTTTGAAAGTCAGTATACTCATATTTTTAAGTTTGTACCGGTACACCACATGTAAAAAGATTCGTTTTCCAACAGAAAACGTAAACAGAGCGAATAAGGGGCTCTTTCTATGCTAGCCTGTATACTGTTGTTATTATTGGTACGTATGTTATACACACAGGCATCCCTTATTCAGCTGGGTTTACATTTTCTGTTGGGAAACAAATCGTTTTACATCTACAGTGTACACACGGTAGGAGCGTACAGCAACTACGGTGTCACTTTAGACTCAGCGTTGTCAGAAACACGACGACTATAACTAGCGCCATGCGCGGCAGCGCACAGCTGATCGTTTGTGTTACCGACATGTCAAGTGTAGCCTATTTTCAAATTATTACACCATAAGATTGTATAGAATGACAATCTCAAAGGTACCTCTAAAACGAAACACTGAACGTGTATTTCTTGAGGCGAATTCAGATACTTATGGGGATTAATGGATAATCAGAGCCCTCTGTAAATTCAATTCGACCGTTCCATACGAACTTTCCAACCGCCCGAAATTCGACTGAAACAATTTTCGGGCGGTTCGAAGGTTCTTATAGGGGATTAAACGATAGTCAGCCCCCTCTGTAAATTCAATGCGGCCGTCCCATAAGAACCTTAGAACCGCCTGTAAACTGTTTCAGCTGGATCAGAGGCGGTCCTAAGGTTCTTTTGGGACGGCCGCATTGAATTTACAGAGGGCGCTGACTATCGTGTTATCCCCAATTGGATGGCCGCATTGAATTTACCGAAGGCTCTGATAATCGTTTAATCCCCTTTAGAAACACTTTTAGATGTCGTGTTTCTGACCACGCTAGACCCCAAAAGAAGTTTAGCTATTTCAACGGTCATTTACCCCCTCCACTTCTTGTGTTACTTCAAAATAAATAGGTCCTACTTGACTGGTACTCCTTAATAGTTCATATAATTGAAGAACAAGAAAAATCGATTCATCCCTTTTTTAATTATTACATTTACTTTTATACTTTCCCAATAATAATTTTCACAGACCATTTTTATGCTTTTATAATGTGATTTTTTCCTTAATTTTTTATTCAGTTTTAATTAGGCCTCCAGAATATTTAAAAGTTCACTTACATCACCATTATATTTCAGTATGCTGGTGTATTGCAATCTATATTATTTAACTGACTAATATGGTAGTTAATTATGAAAAGTCAAAAAATTATCCAATAGTTTTAACTATATTAATAGACAATCAAAACATTCACTGATTTTTTATCTATGAACCATTTTAAAATTAAATTAGTCAATTTGATAAGAAAAATATATCACTATAATCAAGATTATTTCTTCAACTATAAAAGTATTTTAATATGTAACTAAATCTATTTTTCACATAGATATTGAAACAGATTGAAATAGATCTTTTTTTTTCAAGTCTAATTACTTTAAACTTGGCTATACTTAAATTATAATATTTAAAGCTGTTTATATCAATATTTTTAATTTTGCACTAGTGAGCTAATGTGTTAAGATATAAGCGTGTGAAATTCAAAAATAATGTAATCGGTTTAGGTTTAAATTATTATTATTGTTCGCTTTGTTTGTTCGTTTTATTATTGTTCCATTTTTATCAAATATTATTGTGTCTTAACTGAACACCAAAATGATGAGACCCAATTCAATAGTTTTTCTAAAGTTGTTGTTAAATCTATTAATAATCTACTTAAATTCAGAAAACTAATCAGATTTTCATTTTGACAATAGAGATTTTCCAATAATACATTATGAAAAGCACCAAAAAAACATCATTTCAAAAGTTATATAAAGAGTTATTTTTAAGCTAGCATATTATAAATCAGTGCTCATCTTATAATTTACCTATTGTAAAATGATTTTATAAAAAATTCCCCTTAATTGTTGTATACACATTGGAATATCGCATACAAATTTTTATCAAGTTAATAAGTTTTATAAACAATTTTTGTCGCACAGAAATCAATGATATTAACCATAGTAAGTATACTAAAAAAATTAATTAAGTTGCTTTCGAGTTCATGCAAAATTTTAATAAATGTATTTGAAGGCAAGACAAATTCACAAACTTGTAGAATACTTGAGTGCAAATTTTTTGACTAAAACAAATGAAACAGCACAAGTAATATAAGGAAGCACTTTATAAACATCACTAAGATCTGACTACTTATTTTGCTAATCATTTTCATTAGACCAGAGTAAATAAATTGAATTCAAGATTGTTGAACTGATAAATCTTGAAAGTTAAATGGTTATGACATAGCAGAATGGATGAATAATTACTATTAATCAGTGAAAAATATGAAAAACAAAATTTTTTTACCTGTATTAACTCGATATGTTTCAAGCACTGCTTTAGCGGTGAATAGTTCTTCACATTTGTCTTGGAGATAATTTTCTAATTTGAAGCAAACTTGATCATCTATCACTTTTATTTCATCAGAAGTCAAAAATTCTTTGAGAATTTTACAGTTTTTAGGATCGAATGTTTCCATGGTTAGTACAAAAATACAAAAAATGTAACTATTATTTGTAAACGGAACGACTATTATTTCTAACTATTGACGATAGCAAACGTATTGATACTATTCTGTTTCTGTTCAAAAATAAATATTTATAAGTTTGTCAAACTACTATTTGCGATTTACTTTTCAACGGCAAGCGTGTTGTTAAACTCATTTCTGCGTTCCACGATTGACCAGTAAAACTTACAGATTCGAGGCTAAGGGTATCAGATGATCGAAAGAATAGCAACATATAAAGGTCTATACACCTAAAATGTTTGATTATTTGCACACCCGGCCTTGTCCTGACTGTTTACTTTCCGTTGAAAATAAAATACTGGACTGATTCGAAAATTGCTACCGACTGCCGTATACACAAATAGACCTTATATAAATATTCTAAAATATATATAATTGTAAATTAAATTGTAGAGTATTTATATAAAATAAAAATTTTAAAAAATACGTAACAAAATTTTAATTTTCTCTTAATTATTATAGCTGTTTTTCCTCGGAAATTTTCAATCTTCTTCATTACATTTGTACTATGAAATAAACATAAAAGCATTATCAGAAAATTTTAATGCGCTGCGCGTTTTATAAACCCTATCAGAATCTTTGTTAAATACCATGTGAAAATCCAGTTGTTTGTTTTATTGAATTTTTTAAGTACGGCTGATCGCTGCTCAAAATTATAAAAATTAATCAAATTTCCATATTTTCGAGTATAATTAATCATAAAGTAAAACGATATTTTGGTGCAATTATTCAATTAAAATATACGTTTATACAGTTTGAATTGAGGTTCGAACCCAGCATCTCCATAATATAGTTCATGCTACAGTCTATACTGTCTTCCATATATAACAGAAAAATATAATATCAGAAATTCAATTAATAAATTGCAAGGTTTAAATTAATAAACGCATGTCTCATTTTTAATTTGTGGGTATTGTAATCAAAACGAAATTAATTATTTTTTTAGTTAATCAATTAATTTTTCCATGAAAAATAGATTATATAAAATTATAAAAAAATATATTTCAAAAACAAACTGGAATGTACGTTTAGTAAATTATTCATTATTCTAATCTCGTAAATAGAAATTTCTTTCCAATTCTACTAAAAAAATACCCGCAAAAAAGGTATTTTAAAAATATTTTCTTATATTTGTAGCTAGCCGGCAATCAATCAATTGCCTTTTGGCAATGTTGCATTTGTGAGATCCTAGTGAATTTTTAAAATACATGTCAGCACATATTTCAGTCACTATTTCGACTTGTAAAAAAGGGCCTATTTAGTTTTATATTACTGAAATCTACCGAATATGAGCATTTTCGATAATTTTGCATCGCAATAAACCAAACCAGCAGAGACTTGATTATTGAATACTTTCAGAAAAAGACCGTTGTTATTTGAGGCCTATCCCTCTTTCGAGCCAATTTGAATGTCAAAAAAGATCATTTATGGACGAAAACCACCCATATATCAGAGAAAGAAGGGAGAAAAAGAGATCTAAGGTTTATTCATATCAGCGGACGCCCTCCCTCTGCATGTATGTGGATACATTCAGTTTGTGCATATACAGATATATTCTTCTATTGGTCTAAATTTTTGCCTATTTCATGTTGATAAATTCAGTGAAAATTGAATTAACATAAACAAAAGAAAACGATAACAATTAAATTTTATTACTGCGAGAGCAATATCGATGCCCTTCGTTGCAGGGAGAAGTGAAATTCTTTCATTATTTATTATTTTCGTTCAATCTTCGTGTTCATGGCGGTGGCTGGCGGTAAGACCACTAGCGCCGTTGTTAGTACACAATATCATTCATAAGGTGAAGGTAGTAACTTCATCTGTATTACCTCAAACAATTGTTGCAAGTTACGCGCGCGTTTAGATTCTTTGCAATATCTATATACATATCTATTTTAAATAATATCATGTGCAGTGCAGTTGAATATTTGGTATGAATTTTATGCAGCAATTATATTTTGAAACCAAATGAAATTAATATCACGATAACGGTGCATCATCAAATGTTAAATGCAAATTTTGCATTCACACCGGGTTTTATCATGTGGTTTTTCTTGCGTACTTCTGTTTACTCCACTTGTGTCAGAAGAAAATAAATGACTGCCTTTTTCATCGCTTTTTGGTAAGTTGTACAACTATTTCATTTATCGCTGTTATGTATTTCAATATAAAAAATAAACTTGAACTGCATCCTAATTTGTATCATCCATTTCCCTTGATACTCGGCTGTCTCTTTCTCGTTCGCGCGCAAACTAATGTGCTCGTGTTTATTTATTTTTTTTATTGTTTCAACTTGAATGCGATATATTAAAGCAGTACAAAAACATTTTTATGACATTTTAATTGAGCTCTATTAAATATTATATACTATTTTACATTGTTTTACTGCAATATTTCATTTATTTTCGTGTTTATTTTGTAAACATGTACATATATATAGATATAGTTCCCTTTATATTCATGAAGTGCAGACATTTTTTTACGATTTTTTTTGTTTTCTATAATATCTTGCAGTTACTTCATTGTTTTTAAATACGATATCTAAAATTTTACAGGACAGATAAAAGTAAAAATAATATTACAAACCAATTCAAAATAAAATAAATTTTTGTTGTTACAAATTATTGATAAAAACAATTTTATCTAAGCAAAAGCACATGAATTTTATGTTATACATTTTTCCAATGCAATATTAATTAATTAAGTTTTTCTAAAGGTGAATAATACATTTCATTTACTGTTGTTCTTGGTAATTTTTTAGAGATTTAATTTTATTACACCAATAATTAAATATATTTTTAACTACTTTTTAAGTATTTTTTAAATAATTTAATATATTTTTGAGCACAATATTACTTGACAAATGAGGTGGTTGAGCAAATTTTTTTCAAAAAAATTTGTAAGCAATAACTTATTGTTTTAAATGGATGATTACCATGAATTAACCAGATCTACAAACAAAATTTTAGATCTCTAAAATAAAAATATTATATTTTAAAACATTCATTATTATTTCTGTACTAAAATCCTATAATTCTTTTACCCTTGATTTATAACAAATCTAAATTAAATTAAAGTTTTTGTACAATGAAATTTTGTATCTCTCGCTTGTTAAAAGAAATGTTTTACTTTTGTTATCAATTCGCATAATAAACTTTGTAACCAGGTGCATAATAAATTTTGAGTTAGAGATATATTAAATATTTTTATTTAATGAATACAATATTAATTAAGTTTGAATCTTGAGTATAATTGGAAATTAAATTCAAAAATAATATTATAGATTTTTTTTAAGTTTTGTGAATGAATAATTCCTTTTATAAAATTATTAAAAATCATTTTTTGATTATTTGGAATTATTCTTTTTCTATTCTTATAAGTAAAAATAATATATAAGCAACAATATCAGTCTATAAATCAACAGTTAATTATAATCAATTTTATGAAGTTTATATAAAATTCAATGATCTATAATAATATAAACTCTTTACTACTAGGCTTCAATTCAATAGTTGAAAATGAAACTGATTACGTTATATACAAAAAATACATTTCATATGCAATAGTCAATGTTGTTTGAAAAATTATTTTATTTTTATGTTTGATATAATATTTGTGATTTAATAAATTTTAGAGTTTTAATCAGTGATAGGTAAAAATAATTGAAACCACAAGAAAAATGTTTGTCAACACAAGAGCACAAGAAATGCTACTTATTCAATTTAAATGATCCATGCTTCCTTGAGATCCTCCATTTATGAAAAATTATTTTATCTTGTATGTAATATTAGATAAGTTCCCATAATCTGAAAAATATATCGTAAAATATAATATACTCTATACACACTCAATTGATAACACCAGTCGACCAAGCCATTTTTTTTAAATCTGAAAAGTTTGATATTTTATTAAAAAATTTTTCGAGTGGACATTCATTTTCAAGACACCATTAATATTTAAGTCAAATTTTATGCAATATTTAATTGTAAATTATACGCTATTGTTATATATCGTTTTTCTAATTTAGTAATGCATAGAATTTGATACAATTTGACCAAAATGACAATAAGTTTATTTCAAATGAGCGTCAATTGGAAAATTTGCGAATGAAGTATCCAATTTTTCAGATTTAACAAAAATGGCTTGGTAGACAGGTATTACCAACTGAGTGGGTATAGAGGATCCTGAACTGTCTCGTAAACGTCGAGGTAAAAAAATGTATGGTTCCTTGAATTGTGCATGATCTAAGCATGTGCCCAACGGGTGTTCCTAACTGCCAGGATTTAATTCACAAGGATTTAAACTTATGCTTCAACCTCAGGCAGTAGCACAGTATTTGTTTCGCATCTTCTGTAGAACAAAAGTGTCAGCCTGCTCATTCATCGTGCCTAAAGTGGTACTCGTACACTTTAAAGTATCCATACTCCTAAAAAAGTTGAGAGAAATAGTAGCTCATTTTACCGCGTTTTCCGTAAACCCATGATCTTAAATCCGGGCTCAGTTTTGTTTTCCCCCTTCCTTCACATGATTCAGTGTTTTTGTCTCAAACTCAGAGAGGAAAATCTCTCCAATGTTTTATTTCTGTCCATGACACAATCTTCCGTCTTACTGATTGCATAAAACCTTGCCCGTTTGTTCGCTTCAAGATCTAATGGTAGTATACCTGCAAAAACACATACCACATCTTCCGAGATCGTACAAAAGTCAGTACTAACTCGTAAGAATGTTCGTTGCATAATGGTCCTTAACGCCCCATGCCAAATGGGTGTCGCATACGAGATGGCTGATCAAATAACTGACGCCAAAAACCTTCCTTGGGACTATTAGGATCGCCCAATATTCGATAATATGCATCAGAGGCAAAGAAAAAGCCGACTGAAGAGTTTAGTAACTAGAGCGCAATTTGATAAACTCTAAATGCTTCTCATTTGCAATGAGAGCCCCATTTTGTCTTTTAATCGCTTAACAATAGCCCATTTGCCTGCGGACAGTCTCGGACCATTCTGATAGTATGATGTACCTTCTTATGTCATGTAAATTTTTTATGGTGACTACGACTTATATATCGTCAGAACCCAAACGTACACTTTGATTAATGTAAAATTGTTCTTAAATTTGATTACTATTATAATTGAATCAAACATTATACAGTACCTATGCAAACATGATAAAAATATTAATTTCATAATAATATAATTACTTTATAGATATGCTGCTGAGTTAGAAACACTAAACGTTATCTTAGAAACAATTATCTTTCATCATGGACTGGACTCTGGGAACAGATCAATCATTACAAGATATGCTAGACTGTGATATTAAGACTGAAATAGATAGTGTAATAGGAGGCCATCCTGAACTTGGTTTTAATTTTACTGACTTATCTCCTCTAGAATTAGATGACGATCCAATTCATTCACACGTTGATTTAAACAATTGGTTTACGTCTCAAAGTCTTATAAATGGCAACAGTAATAGTTCAAACAGGTAATTACATTTTTTACATATCATTGTATTAATGCTATCCTAATATAGAAGTTTTGAATAATAAATAATATATGATTCCCCATCATGCTCAATTTTGACATTTTTTCGGAAAATTTGAAATTGTAATGTATTTAAAAAGTAATATATTCTTTATCTTTAAAATTAGTTTATTAGGTGTTAAATGACAAAGGGACGAAAATAAAACAAATTTACTTATTGTTCCTCGAATTTTTAGTGTTTGGGTTTTAACATAACTTCAAAAATACGAGATAAAAATGAAACAGGCAGTAATTTTTGTTGTTTAACTCTAATTGACTTTTTGAATAACTAGAACGAAAGATTTCGCGATTTTATTGCAGTAATGATCGTCAATACTATTTTCACCCCAGATGTACATTAGTGAAGTCACCTCTTTCCCCATTGCAGAATTGTTTGCTGTAAACTCTTAGATAACTAGTTTATGGCTTGAAAATATTAACTAAATGGTTTAGAGACTATATCTTGCCTACCATTGCAAATATGTCTCATCCGCTATTTTTGCTGATTTTCACGATTCTGGTTTTCCCAGACTCCCAAAAGCAAGATAAAGATCCTGTACCATAAAAAATTTTTATTCATGATATGAATTAGAGATTTTCGAAGTATCATGAAAAATAATTGCCAGCCCAGTACGATATAATAACGTCAAAAAATTAAGAAAAAACGACGTTGATTCAACTTGACAGTTCTTTGTACTTTTCTTAAATATATTCAAATTTTACAAGCTGTAGATCTAAATTTTGACAAAGAAGTAAACAATAACTGATTTAAATACTAGTTTGAATAACAGACTTCTAGTAACTAAAGTTCAAAAAGTGACATTAAAAATCCAACATTCAAAAATGGGCCATACGCTGGTGATAACAATTTCATTTTTATATACTGCAGAATCGAAAAAATTAATTTTGAAAATGTAAAATAACAGTCAAATTATACAAAGGTGGTTTTTCTCGAGTTTTTAATGTTATTATATCGTACTGGTTGGTGCTGATTTTTTGTGATACTTACGCATATCTTTGGATTGCATTTTGTCCCTAAGAAAACAATTTCTAATAGCGTAGGCCCTTCAAATTACTTTTGGGCGTCAGGGAAAACCATAATCGTAAGAAATCAGCAAAAATAGGATTGAAAACTATTTTGAATTGCAGCCAAGGTCTAGGCACTCGTCTTCGTTCTCTAAACCATTTTATTAACGTTCAAACTAGTAATTTCTAAGAGTGTGGAATAAACAATTTCGGAATTTGGGAAAAAGTGATCTTCTTAATGTACATACATGAAAATAAACATATAATAACTGTTCTCCTTAATTCTTCTAAATCAAAATTCTATTTATTTTCAGTAATTTTAATTTGGACCTCAACAGCTGCGATGCTGCCTCAGTTATGGTAAATCCAAATTCAGTAATGCCTTTTTCATCGGCTCGTGGATTTTTATCGCAATCCATCACGTCACCTTCTGAAAAGCAGGTGAATAATTCCCGAGCGTTGTCTACATCGAACACACCAGACATTTCATCTACAACTTCTGCAGTTAACTCTTCGTGCTTAAACACACCCAGGAGGCATTTTGTGTTCACTTCAAATATGAAAAAAAATCATGATATTTTGGAACAAAAACACGCTATTGTAAATACACTCAAAAAAGAAATTTCAGAAACCAATGAATTTTCTGACAGAGATCATAACATAGAAAGCAGTGATTCGGAAGTTGATGAAGCATCTGAAGATGAAGATTTAGACGATAAAAATAAATTCACCCTTAAAATTTGTTCTAAAAATATCAAAACATCATCAGTTTCTTCTAAATCATTAACTTTAGTGCCCCTTAAAATGCAGAAGTCATGTCAACAACAACCCTCTAATAAAGATAATATTTCAACAATCAAATTACAAAATCTTAAACTATATCAGAGTTCCAATTTACTGCCAACTCAACGGCAAAAAATATATGACAGAGAAATTGAGTCAGGATCTATTATACTGCAGCATAAAAACATAGATAATTCATTGAATTTGAACTGTACAAATACCAATACACAATTTGACTCGGTTACTTTGGAATACGATAGTAAGCCTTTCCCAAAACCAGCTTATTCTTACTCATGCTTGATCGCCATGGCTTTGAAAAATAGTCAAACCGGATCTCTACCAGTTTCTGAAATTTATAACTTCATGTGGTGCGTATAAAAATGAACGAACAATTACCATTAAATAGCTGTATTCAAGCATTATAACATTATTTCGTTTAGTAAAATAAGTAGAATTAATGAAACTTTTAATTTTATCTCCAAAATACCAAAAGTACGCTTATAATTTTTTCCTTTATACTTTGTAGAATACCGGCACTCTTGATAAAGTTTTTAATGTAAAGCCGCGCAAGGTGACTGTTCGCTCGAATAGTGACAGTAATAGTAACAGTATTTACCGAGAATAGATTGTTTTCAAAACCGTTACTAATTGTTACCTAATTTGTATGACTGGAGAAAAACAAAGAAAAGCTTTCATTTATTTAACCCGCAACACTTTTAGGCGAGCGGGAGGTTGCCAAAAAGTCGCTTAGAAAGGGGACATACCGACCACGGAGAGGGGAGTGGGTAAACGACATGATTCCTTACGTATTTTTCGTCGCTGAATCCGAATATGAAATTTATTTTACTCTAAAATGACAGCGTCATGGAGAAAAACGCGATTTTCATGAAAATCGCGGTATAATGAATTTCTCATTTTTTCGAGTTCAACTCGCTGTAACTTTTTTTGTAGTAAATATTTTTTGATGAAATTTTAACAGCATATTCTAGCACTCAAAAGGAAGAAAATAGCGTCAAGCAGGTGTCGAAAAGTTTATTAGAACCGAAGATATGATTTTTTGAACATAAAAAACGCGAATTCATGAATTCTTAACTTCGGATTAAAAAGTTGAGTGACGAAATTTCGAAATTCAAAATATAAACTTCACAGCACTAAAATATATAGTATAAGGAAGTTTTTGGTAAAATTTGAGATCAAAATATCAATTAGGGAAGAAATGGCAAGAGTTTCAATATTAGCGCACCGAGCGCGCGCTCGCCGCGCGTGCAGCGCAGCAGCCGCCTCGCCGGCTAGCGTTGCGCGTTGGCCCGTGTAATGGTGCATACAGTTTAATAATTAATATATGAAATCCATTTAATTGTTTTTATTGAACATATGGTCAAATCTCAAAATAAAATTCCGTTTCGTTAACAAAAAAAGGTGAAATTTTTTTTTGCGTGCCCAGTGGCCCGGACCCCCGCAAATTCTTCATAGGACCTCCAGGAGTGAAAAAAAACGCGTGAACATGAAATTTGTAAATAGTTAGTTTTTTTTGGGTCACTTTTGTGTTTTAGATGCCGAAAAGCCATCTTTTCACGCAAATACGACTTATTGCTCGATTTCCAAGTCGTTGAAAAAGTATAAAAAATCATCTAAAAATTTTAACTGACCACTGTATTCGATAGGAAATTTCCTCAGCTTTCTCATGGTGCAGTTGGATTTTCCGATTAATTTCATTTTCCCAAGGAAAAATCAAAAATAAGCCATAGAAAGCACTTTTTCCGTACTACATTTTTCGACATATTTAGCCCTCAATGTTTGATGGCGATTTTCGTGGTGAAATTTGGATATTTCGGAAAATCAAATAGTACCATCGGAAAGCTGAGGAAATTTCCTATCGAATACAGTGGTCAGTTAAAATTTTTAGATGATTTTTTATACTTTTTCAACGACTTGGAAATCGAGCAATAAGTCGTATTTGCGTGAAAAGATGGCTTTTCGGCATCTAAAACACAAAAGTGACCCAAAAAAAACTAACTATTTACAAATTTCATGTTCACGCGTTTTTTTTCACTCCTGGAGGTCCTATGAAGAATTTGCGGGGGTCCGGGCCACTGGGCACGCAAAAAAAAATTTCACCTTTTTTTGTTAACGAAACGGAATTTTATTTTGAGATTTGACCATATGTTCAATAAAAACAATTAAATGGATTTCATATATTAATTATTAAACTGTATGCACCATTACACGGGCCAACGCGCAACGCTAGCCGGCGAGGCGGCTGCTGCGCTGCACGCGCGGCGAGCGCGCGCTCGGTGCGCTAATATTGAAACTCTTGCCATTTCTTCCCTAATTGATATTTTGATCTCAAATTTTACCAAAAACTTCCTTATACTATATATTTTAGTGCTGTGAAGTTTATATTTTGAATTTCGAAATTTCGTCACTCAACTTTTTAATCCGAAGTTAAGAATTCATGAATTCGCGTTTTTTATGTTCAAAAAATCATATCTTCGGTTCTAATAAACTTTTCGACACCTGCTTGACGCTATTTTCTTCCTTTTGAGTGCTAGAATATGCTGTTAAAATTTCATCAAAAAATATTTACTACAAAAAAAGTTACAGCGAGTTGAACTCGAAAAAATGAGAAATTCATTATACCGCGATTTTCATGAAAATCGCGTTTTTCTCCATGACGCTGTCATTTTAGAGTAAAATAAATTTCATATTCGGATTCAGCGACGAAAAATACGTAAGGAATCATGTCGTTTACCCACTCCCCTCTCCGTGGTCGGTCAACCCTGTTTTTTGGGTAACCTCCCGCTCGCCTATTTCTTTGTTTTCCTCCAGACATAAGTTACCTTCAGTGACGCCGGTTTAAATGATTTATATTCGAGCGTGGCTAAAACGCCAAATTTTTTGGTTTTCATAGACCTTTATAACTTTTACAAATAAGCAACAGACCAGCTTTTATCACACAAACGACTTGTAAAGACTTTCAATCAAAATTAGCCTCGAGCCTTCAATAGACTGATATGATACATTTTCCAATTGTCACAACATTCGAAATCGCGTGGCACTAAACATTCTATAGCATGCCGATAACAATCAATCACAACACTTATAACTATTTACGCTAGAAATCTCCCCTTTCATATAGAATAGGATTAGTGTGACCAATTTTTTGTAAAATTGAATGACCAAAAAATTTTGTTTCTGCATGAAAAACTTGTTATTATTGATAATGCATGCATTTAAATTTTATTATAATTTTTGAAAACTTTCTATCAATTGTTTTTACGATACAGAGCTTTATTCATTGTAAATTATTTAAATTTTTGTAATTTGTCTTAAATTTTAATCGACACGAACAATCTTGGAGTATCGAAAAATATGCTTGAAACTTCGGAATAAAGGTATTTTTTGTTACTTTCCGCTGCTTTGCGCCGTTTTGACTTTTTTTGTTCAAACACAAAGACTACACCCTATTATGTTATCACCGAATATGTACATGGCACCATTAACTTTGTACAAAAAGACCGTTTTAAACAAATTGTAGCTTGCCCAAAACCCGATTTAAGATGTGGAGTTAGGTGTGTTATACTTTATTGACCCATTGGTTTCATTTTTTTTAATATTTCATATATTCTATTTTTATAATTATTTTTATTACAGTGAGCATTTTCCATACTTCAAAACTGCGCCAAATGGCTGGAAAAATTCTGTCAGACATAATTTATCGCTTAACAAATGTTTTGAGAAGATAGAGAAACCAGCAGGAAATGGTAATCAGCGAAAAGGATGTTTATGGGCCATAAATCCTGCCAAAGTCGCCAAAATGGACGAAGAAGTTCTTAAATGGTCAAGAAAAGATCCTTTGGCCATTAAAAAAGCTATGATTTACCCGGAACAATTGGAACTTCTAGAACGTGGAGAAATGAAGTATGTCAGTAATAATGGATTTGGAGGTGACTTTTCAACGGAGGAAACCGAAAGTTCAGGTGATGAGGGTGATATCTCAGATCAGACAATTTCTCAACAAACGATTTCACTAGTACCTGCAAAAACATTACACATGACTAATAGATTAGCTGCCAACTCGATAAGTGATAGCTATGATGAAAGTAGTCAAGATATAGACTTAGATATCAATGACCAAATTCAAGATGAAATTGACATCGTAAGAAATGAAAAAAGTTTGCACATGCAGATAAATATTGGAGAAACGAATTCTATAAAAAATAATTTAGATTATTTGAACCGAAAAAATACTAAACGTCAAAAAATTAATCTCACCGAAACTCTTCAAGCTAATTTTGTATATCAAACGGTCAATCCAACATTACACCGAAAATCGTCACCTCTCTTTTTAACAACATCTAGTGCTACTGGATCATTCGTTAAGTTAGACTAAATATTTTGTCACCTTTTTTTGATCTCGTAGTAATATTAAATATTATTTTAATTTACACATCATAGGTTATATCTAATTTATATAATTATGCCTAACTAACGGAAAGCTTTTCAGTTATGGAAAAAAAGAAAATCCTGATATTTTTTTTACTCTACTCGATAAATCTTCATAAATTATATTTTTCGTATGGATTTAGTTTGGCCATAAAAAGACTCTAATTTATTGAATTGCTTTTTATGTTGTAACTTTCAAATACCACAAAGCAATTCTAAATAGTCCAAAGAAAGCGTACAATTCGCAAAATTTTAAGTTCATATTTTCAAGGCGTTTAGTCTATTTATAAGTATTAATTACAATTTATTATTCGTGTCAAAAAATCGATCACAATCTTTTTCTCGAAATATTGTAGTAATAACTGAAAGGTTTTTAGAACCCAGGAAGTGTAGTCATTATAAAATTACGCTTGTATTTACTTACGTTACGATAAAAATAATCTACGAATATATTCGGAACTCAAAAACCCAATTAAAAACTAAATACTTTAAATGGGAATATGTATTAATAATTATATTAAAAAATCTAGCTGTTGTAATTATATTTGCCCTGAGTGAAAAATTATAATAGCCGTCTAGATTTACTAAATTGTACTTATAAATTTAATTCATTCCGACAATGTTCGGGTTAATATAATTTGATTTAATTAATTCGATGTATTAGTGGCTTATTTGGCTTTGAATTTAATTTCCGTCTTGATATTTATGCAAGACATCATTCGAAAATCAATTTTCTCATATAAATGATCAAAAATACCTTGAATTGAAAAAGAATGTGTCCAATTTTTCGGATAAATTTTGTTTCAATACTCGTTTAAAGTAATATATATTAAATCTTCATTGGGGTACGGTGATTAGAGTTACACTTTGGGCTTTATTCTGTGTGAAAATTTTTTCTTTTCTTACGCTTTTTCGACAATTTTGATTTTCCTTCAAGTCTCTTATGATTAGTTTTGGAGCAACCTGTTATTTACACCATTTAGACTATGCTCGCTTTAGAATGCTATTAAGACTAACAAAACCAATCCTAGACGAATCAAGTCCATAAAAATGGATAATTAACTCTACCGAAGAGCTTATTTATACTTCGAAGTTGATTTTTACATCATTCTTAAAGGGGATATTTTCCCCCTTTCCATTACATTTTTAGAAATTTAAAAATTTAGATTTCTTACTAGGATACAGCTGATCCCATGCGACTTTTGTGTTATAAATTTAATATTCGTGTTAAATTGTTTTATTATTCTTTACAACTTTTTATACTTTCCGAAAACACGTTCACGTGTCGGAATAATCAGAGCTCAAGGTACTGTGCTCAGGTGATGTTAACTTCTTCGGAACATTGATAAATGTTCATGACCACTATCTCGAGCGAGGTAAAGATTCGACCTATAGACCATCCTAGCATAATACGTTTATGATAGGAATGACTAAGAAAACTTAATATGTGAAAAAAGTATCCTTCAGAGCTTGTTCAAAACAACTTACAGGTCCGATCGCCTCCTCTGAGGTTGCATCCGTAACCATTAATGTTCTAAAGAAGGTTACACAACTGGGCTTTGTATCTCAAAGAATTCGGTCCGAATATTACAAGTGCGATACATTTTTCAAAAACGTTGTTTAGAGAAAGAAGAATTTCACACATAAAGTATACGAAAAAGTCTCATGAAAACATCTGTAATAGTTATTTATGTAACAAGTACCCAAAAGGCGTTTTTGGGCACGAGTGTGCGGAAAAAGCTGGGCACGTGTTGCATACAAAATTTTATGCAATAGTAAGCGAAAAATACTTTCATTTAAATGAGTCATTTTACCGCACACCCGTGTCCAAAATGGGGCATTTTACCGCACACAAGTGTCCAAAAACGCTTTTCGCGCACTAACAAATGTGCGAAAAAAGACATTTTTCGTCATATTATTGCATAATATCTATTGAATCAATCAGTAAAAGTTCTTAATATCATTTTCATGGCACCCTAGCCAAAACTAACCTTTTCATCACTGCGTGCGGAAAGTGCTATTTTCGCGCACGGCTGGTAATCTTAAAATCTACTTTCTGCAGGTTGTAATGAAAATTAGTATACGCAACTGGGACTGGACTTGTGTCAATGTAACCCTTGCTACGCTCGGGCTGCAAACTTAACACTCGTGCAAATCGACTCCCGCCCCCGTTGCGTAGTCTACTATTTCGGCGCTGCGGCCAACGAGAAACAGTTACTTTCTGTTGAGGGATTTATTAAAAACGGTATACGCACCTATGAAGCGAAAAAACCTCAGAACCCATGTTTATCAGCCCTGACTCATAGTTACATGTGTTCTGAGGCTTTTCAGTTTTTCGTTCCATAGATATGTAATCCATTAACACTAAACCTTGCAAAAAAAAAAAACACAAAATCCCCGAGAGTTCCTGTAAAAATATTAAATTGGTCTTACCAGCTATGTCCATAAATTAAAACAGCGGCTAATGTCCGTTGACAATTTATTAAAATTACATTTTTGTAAAGTCTACTTTACATTTAATTATATTTAGTATTAATCCACCGTATTTGCATAATAATTTACCTATTCGTTCAATATCCTCAAACGTAATTGTAATAACTTTGCTTGAGCTCAAAAAAATTTGCTCCGAAACAGACAATAATGGAACAAATTTACGAAAATCTCGGGTCGTCAGAAAAAGCAAAAGAAAGAAATTTTTCACACGGCCAAAAAATACTCTTAAAAAGTTGTATCTCAACGATGAATTGAAATCATTGCATTTTTCAATAAGTAATGTAAAGAAAAGAGGAATCATTTAGATAATTGTCTAAATATTTTTCAAATAAAAGTTACTTTAAAACTTTAAGAAATAAAAATTTATACACTGTGCTTAGCTGTAATGAATGTATGTTTGAGTGTTTATATGCATAAAGTTAATACATGAATTTTAGATCAATAAAATAATGAATAATAAACGTAATGTTTAAGATGAACAAGCTACATCACGCATAATTATGTAAATGTATTATAATAAGTAGAACAATTAAGAAAATAGATATAAGCTACATAATGAAAAATTACTGTATATATATATGTAAAACATAACATTAAGAAATTGAAAAGCTTATATTTTTCATTTTTATGCAAAAAATAAATTTCTTAATAAATTCTAAAAATGAAATATTTATTTTGCATTGTTATACCTTATTAAATAACTAGAGTGGTAGGCTCGCTCGCAGATACTTCCTCAACGATTACCGAAAAAAATAAACAATAACACTTAACATCGCCTTTCAAAGTCGATGATAGTGTATGATGATGAACGAGAAAAAAATTCCTGAAGTATAATTTTCAGCTGTGTCACAACAATGTGACTACGATATACTGTGGTAATAAAACATGAAGCAAATGTTAAATAAGCTATATAACATGTACGTAAACTTAAGTCACTTCAAAATTTAATGCAATATTTCAACAATTTATTTAAGAAAAATTAGCATACAATTTTTGTACAAAAATATACATATCAGATATTATTTTATCCATCATGGACGACTTGGACAAATAGTTCAGCATCAATTCTCTTGGTTTTGTTTCGATCTGTTCTTCTTGAAATTGAATCTCTTCCTGAAATGATAAATTATTTTCATAATATCTTGTAAATAATGTTAATATAGATGCATACTATTATTGGGTACCGAACGATACCGCTTTTTACGTTTGCCAAATGTCACTATTCAGTATAAATTAGCTTTACCTATTTCCTCCAGTCTTTATAGGTAATCTCACATTAAGAGCCTAAAAGCGTTGCGGTATCGTTCAATTTCCAATTACTAAAAAAATAAAAAAATCAAGAGTCACATGGTTTATATAATTCGATTGTTTTTTTATGATTAATAATATTTCTATAGTTTATCTATTATCTGTACTTTTGAAAGTTTCAGGGCATAAAAATAATTTATCTCGGGTTTAGATCCTGCATTGATAATTAATTGTGATTAAAACAGTGCCTTGTGAATTCGAGTTTTCAAGGGATAATCGAAAAATCTATGCACATTTAAAAAAAAAAGTAATCCATATGAAAGTCCACGCAATTTTTTTCAACTAGGGGCTTGGCTTTAACTTTCTTGTATTATTATTAAGTCCCTTATAAAAATTTCCAATAGGATCCCGCGAAATTCCTATTGGAATCCTATAGGACTCCTGTAGGAATTTCGCGAGATCCTATAGGAAATTTTTATAAGGGGTTTGATCGTGAAAGTTGCAGAATAACGGTTTTCTCTAATATTTACCTCTCTTCTTAAGCTTTTTTCACTTTCATTTGCATTGTCCTGTTCATCAAGAGGTTTCTTTTCATTCGGAGTAACGCCAAGAAATCTAGATGGACCAAATGGTAAATGATGCGGAAAAGCTGGACCATGGGTCACCATTTGATATCTATCTTTCGAATTTTCCATAAAAGATAGCCGCGTATTATTATCTTCAGCAAAACGTTTCCTCAAATGGTTATAACTTGTTCTAAAATAACATTGAAAAAACAAACAACATTATTAATTCCTTAAATTACGTCAGATTAACAAATGGTACCTGATAATATTCAGATAGCTTATTTGAAAAATTTTTGTATTAACGTATTTCTTATTTTTCTGCTATGGAAAAGGCCATTTGAATAATTCAAAAAATTTTCAAGACATTCTGAAAAAAATGTACACTTGTTTTTGACTAATTCTAAAAATTTTTTGCGAAATCAAAATTAATCCAAGATTAAAAGTGATATTAATGAATCCAAATCATTTAGGACCACTTGATTGACACGAGTTGAAATTTTTTTTTAATTCTTTGTGAAAGAATAATGAGCATTACTAAAAAAATTTTAAGGACAAAAAAACCTTCAGATACAAGTTCGTAATCATTGTCCCAAAAAACGTAATGATGTAGTACTGTAATCGCTACGACAGAACTCTTTTTGTGTGTCTGTGTAATTATTTTTACCTGGACTTCCTTGAACTATTGCGTTGCTTTTTTGCATCAAAATTTTTTTTCATGCTATCCGATGCCTCTAGCCTTCTTCTTATGAAACATCTTCTTTCTTTACAACCATTTTTTCCATATAAATTGGGATTCTGTAGTTTGATGGAATTATTATTTTTCTGAAAATAGTTTGAGTAGTTAATTTGAGTCGTCCAGGAAATATAATGTAACTATATTTTATTTTATACTGTGAGGATTATGACAACTGTAATATTTGCTGCTTTCTCTCACTCTCGGTAGGGCAATAATCAAATTGTATTCTAATCATATTATTACCATCACGTAATTGATGATTTAAATTTTCAGCTCAAATATTGACTACCTAACGAAGAGTCGTGACGTGATGAACGAAGCCAATAGTTAAAAAAGAAATTCCGTACTGAGAGAAGGTATATAATACTCCATATATATATATGTAATCTCAAGTTTTAACTATGGAGTATACCACATGGTAGCACACATGGCGTCATTTATTCAGAAGCATATGGCCCACAACTATGCCGTGCCGTAATAGTACATTACGACACGTGCACAATATGCTTTTGCGACTTATAACTCGGAATAGGGGGCATAAATGTGAGCTTAATACAGTGCTATAAAACAGTATATTGTATACGTTTGATAAGAAGCACATTATGAGCACGGCAGAAGCACACTCGCTGCGTTCGGGCGCTTTACTCTGCCGTGCCATAATCTGCTTCTTCTGCCACTGTTTCATAATGTACTGATTTAGGGCCCTAGTATCGTACAAGATATCTTAAGCAAGTAAATTATAAATAAACTTTCTTAATAAATTATTTTTAAAAATCCATGAAAACGATTAACTTACGTATTTGACTATGATTAATTGATCAAGTAGAAGTCTGTTGATTGTTGGTACACTTTGAGTGCTTGAAATCGATTTGAGGGTCGAATGTACTTGATCGTACGAGGGTGAGTAAACATCAATTTTTTTAAGTTGACCATCCAGATGATGTTGTGAATGTCCTGTCCAAACCTACTCGCAATACGAAATTTATGAAACTATCTACTTCTGTTATTGATATTAACTAAATTCTAAAATCAAGAACATAAAAAGAGGGGGAAGAGATTAGACCTTTTTAGATGAAATAAGTTCACAAATCGTGTGAGTTTTCACCTGGTTTTTTATAAAATATGTACATTTGTATATTAATTCCATTTGTTGATGTAATATTTTTGAAGGCACGTTATGATATAATATTGAAAGTGATCCAGTATTATTTAATAATCAAAAATTGTATTTCAAGAAAAATTATGGATAAAAATGAGATTCAAATGAAGGTTCTTAAATTTATTCCTATACTTATGATACCATATCATATTTCTGCGTGTTTTCCTACACCAAAATTTCTTGAAATATATATAATATTACATGATCAACTCAAAAATATACAGCATAATCAAATTTTATTCACAAAAAATGTAGATATTTCATTAGATGAAAACTCATCTCATTTCTTATCATTTCTTTTGACGTTGAGAAATCATGTGATTTCTTATCTAAACGGGAAAAATGGGACTCAAGCCAGTTTGTCATCACAATTGGTCAAAGATTGTTTACGAATCTATATTCACTGCCAACAGTGGAAATGAGTTGCTTGAAACCTGCATAGACGATACATAGAATCGGCGGTTGCAAGCGCACATTTTTAAGTTAAACATTTTAATTAGAGTAATTGTTGCCAAGAACCATCAGTTATTAAGATGATTAATTCTTAAAAAAATTGATATCACAATTTTTTAAAATGACAATTTCTAGTCTTAGTAAGTTAGTAAGATTGATGTACCAAAAATAATCACAAACCAAAGCAAAAATCTTACTTCTGAAGACGTCACTGATAATTTCATATCTGATTGCTTCTTGTGATCCAACCCGCCAATATCACTAGATTTTGCGAATTTTAAATTTATTTTTTCATTTGATTCAGCAATTACTCTGTGTATTTTTAGTGTATTCACAATAACAAGTAAGCTGAAAATTATGGCAAAAATTAATATCTTATTTCTTCAAATGAAGAGATTATCATAGTTTATGACGATACAGAAGGATTTAGCTAAAATTCTATTTTTTCTTAAGAAAAAACCGATATTTATTTATTTATTCATTAATTTAATATATATGAAGGATTTATAAATAGTCGGCGAAGTTTTATTTGGATTTTACTGCAAGTCTGTTTAAAGAATTTTCACATTTTTAGGCATTGCTATATGCATTCAAAACTATAATCAAGCTTTATAAAATTACTTTTCTTTTATAAAAAATGTTAAAACTATTAGTAGAGTGTTTGTTGAATCAAGAACAAGAAAATCAATTATTGAAACGCACGTCTATTTCAATACATCTATGAATTGAATTAGTATAATATTCTACAAAAAACTGTTATGCTAGTTTCTAATAATGAATTTTACTTTGGTTCACTGAAACTCTTTCGTATATAATTTATAAACTGATGAACTCATACTAAAAATTTACTCATGTATTAGATAAAAAAACAGAGTTTTAGTTATTTAAAGAACATTTTTGTTTGGAAACAAGTTGTTGATACTATCAAATAATTTTTCTTAAGCAGAAGTAATAAATATATGGTCTTTGACAATTTTTTTTCTCAGCAATTCCAGTGGCAATTTATCCAAACTTGCTAAATATAGAAGTAAGCTTCAAAAAAGCGATATTAGGTTTATTTATGGATACATAACACACTTTTTTATATGAATTTAATGAAATTTTATTGAATTAAAAATACTTTATTTCTTTGTTATACGTGCTAAACTGAGACTTATTTATTCTTACATATATAAAGTAAGCTTACATTTTTAGATACCTGATAATATGCATTATAAGACGCGAGTTTTTGACTTGTATAAAACGTTATAGTTTTTTAATGTTTTTAAGAATGCAAATTTACTCGAACAATTTTATAATTGCAAAGCATGGTGTGGATTACTTTCGCAGATTTTCCATAGCTACACCTTTACTCGCAATCACCCCACCACACGCAAATTAATTTGTACTAATATTCATTATTTATAAAAGAAAGCTCAGCAACTTGTACTATATTATCACTTGACACAAATTTCAAATATAGAATCATATACGTTTAATTTCCAGTGAAATATCTGCACGTTTTTAAATTGAAACGATTTCATAGCAGAAATTATAATACACATCAGGATAAAAGAGGTGTATAATCTTCTTAAATGCAATGTTTAATTATACAAAACAATTATTTTTTATTTTAAAAAAATACAATACATTTTTTATGAAAATTAGTGAACAAAATAGCTTGTAAATTCCAATGAAATCTAATTTAGAATCAAGAAGCGCAGTAGCGCCCAAAAGATGAATATAGTTTGTTTACAGGATAAAGCTATGCGAAAATGAAAGAAAACGGTAAAAATATATTTCGTATGTTCATCTAATATGTGCAAGTTTGACTTACAAAGAAACTACTGAACCTCCGTTAGTTCTACCGATTTGTTTTAAAAAAAGCAGAGCCAAGAGCTTCAGAGACTTTCTTCGAGATTCTATCGAGGTAGTAATATTCATGGTGAATCGCCCTGGATGCTGATAGTATCTCTTGGTTTTCTTTTTCCCATCTAGTGCATAATGAATAAGTGCTCACTTTAAAAATCTAAGTAGTTTCTTAAGAATTTATTGTTGCTTAATTATTTGATTTGTTAATTGATTTTTAGGATTATTTAATTATTGTATTTATTTATTCTAAATAAGTTCCAAATCATAATATTTTAATGGTTTTTCAAAATTATCTATTGAATTAAAATATTATCATGACGGAGCGAGCGGTCATTGCTGTGTGTTAAAATAACATAATAACAATGTTGACTTCCTTTCAGAAGACACACTCATAGACACGTATAGGGTAAAGAGGGGTATTACTGCGCACCTTTCGCATCTCTAATTCTGAAGTAGATTTAACAAAAAATAAAAATGATTTTGATATCGGTAATCATTTTTCCAACAGATGAGAGCTTCGTTGAAGCATAAAAAACGTTTTTTTTGGAGGTTTATGAGATAAAAGTATTCAAAAAATAATAAATTGTAAAAAAATCCGATGCACCTATTACTGCGCGGGTGTAGGTATTACTGCGCGGGCATGTGTCTATTACTGCGCACTGAATTTTCCGTGATGACTAAGTATTTACTAAGTAATAATCATTTTCACACTTTGAAAACTAGCATATTGATAGGAAATTTCCTCGGCTATCGATTGCGACTATTTAAAAAAATCTTAAAAATAGGCTTTTTAAGATATTTGCATTTTAAACTTTATGTCAATTTTTCTCGGTGAAAATGGAAAATTTCGGAAAATCTGACCACACCGTCGGAAAGCTGAGGTAATTTCCCATCGAAATGATGGAATCCCTTTTTCTTCTAGGTGCATTTCGATACTTTTTACGTGAGTTAGAAACTGAGTGATTTCGTTTAATTGGGCCGCGCAGACACTTGTAATGAAATGCCTTATATACATATGCGCAGTAATAGGTACATACAGTGCGCAGTAATTGATACATCGGTTCAAAATACGTAACTAATTTTATTTTTCAAATTTATTGTAGAAAAATATAACTAATTAAACTAATATGGACGTATTAATTAAATAGATATACTAAGTAAGTAAAAATGATATTTGCAAACCAAATTGTCACATACATAAAAAGTTACAAGTATTTTTCTATGGGTGTTATCGGCAATTTTTTTTGTAAAAAATAGCTAAATTGAGGAGCTCAATTTCAAATCGATATTACATTAATAAATTGATGTTTTATTGTTAATTTTTTTTTATTAATATTGTGGGAGGACAATATCTATTATTTAAAATCATTATTACTCATTAATTTACAATACAATTGTCATAAACAATCATTTTCTGCAATGCGCAGTAATAGGTGCTACGCAGTAATACCCCCGCTTACCCTACATTGATCAATATCAGATTTGAAAACATGCATGATAATGCGTAGAGTCTCGCGACATATACCGCGCATTGACAGCACATACGTATTGTCTCATATGCACAAGCAATGGAGTGCCGGATTATAGCATAGGCCTCATAGGCACGGCCTATGGATCACCCCATCATGGAGGCTACCACCAAGATTGAAAAAAAATTTTAAGACAAACAAAAAAAAAATAGTTACAAATGGTTTGATCTTTGAACTTTGTATGTGTGAAGTCCACGTTTATCGAAGCTTGTTTTTTTGCGATCGGGGAAAAACACTTAGGAAGTGCGAAAGTTACACATATTTTATGTATATACTATTTAATAAACTAACTAACTAACTAATATATTATATGCGTTATAATATTTGAGGAAATAAAGCACTAAAAACTGCCAACTCTCCTATTTTTTGAACAGTAAGTCAGATCGAGATGCGGTTTTTGACATTCGATTCGGGAGAGCGCCTAGAAATTTTTTGAACAAAATTTATGAGGGAGAAATGAAAAATTTCATCCCTGGATGAGAAAAATGCATTTTATAAATGCATCTTGAACTCACGGTTTTGTCAATATGTGTATTTCGCTAAATATCGATAAAAATGAGTCTCATTTCTCCACTCGGAGATTTTTTGGGGTCGCGGAAAACGAATATCACGACGAAAATGTACTACAGCGTACCTGGGGCCCAGGGTGACCCGTATGTACCTCGTCTCCTGGAGTTTTACGGGAATATTCAATATATCTCGTTGAAACTCGTTACTCAGGAGTTTTAAAGGTCGCTGAAAATGAATATCACTACGAAAATGAACTACCATGTCCTAGTACCAGGCCCCATTCATTTTGTCTTCTTCAGTTGTATCGTAAATATTTGATCAATTTCGTTTGGTTGTTTGTATACAAGTTCTAAAAACAAAATCACTTTTAAGGTGATGCCTTGGCCACAATTTTTACCGACCGAGCACAGAAAATGTATATTTTCGTAACTTTTTTTTCAGGCTGATTTTCGAAAAACGGCTCTGTGGAGCCCACCGTATTGATGCTGTGAACAACTGCACCAAATTTCAGCCAATTTCATCGGGTAGTTTTCCCGGAAAACAGGATCAAAATTTTTTTTTTAACACTGCGTGCGCGAAACACGGGCTTTCTAACCTTAAATCGTCAGAAAACCCTAGTTTCTCGCAAGCAGAGTTAAAAAATATCGTTTGCAACTAGTCCGCGAGGAAGTTGACTCACCCAGGAGTCTTTGCACCCTCGCTACGCTCGGGTGAAAACAACTCCTGGATGAGTCAACTGCTTCGCGCACTTGTTACAGAATATACTAATCCTGCAAACATTAGTCAAAAATTTTGATCCTGTTTTCCGGGAAAACTACTCGATGAAATTGGCTGAAATTTGGTGCAGTTGTTCACAGCATCAATACAGAAGGCTCCACAGAGCCATTTTTCGAAAATCGGTCTAGTAAAAAAGTTATTTCAATATACATTTTCCGTGCTCGGTCGGTAAAAATTGTGGCCAAGGCATCACCTTAATTTTAAAGGTTGGTTTTGATAATTTCATTCGTAATGACGATTATACCTGACATGGCCCTAGATACTTTGGAAACTATTTTCACAGTGATATTAGTTTTCAGCGACCTCGAAAACTTCCTAGAAACGAGTTTCGACGAGATATCTTAAATATTCCCATGAAACTCCAGGAGATGAGGTATGTAAGAGTTACCCTGGGCTTCAGGTATGTCGTAGTGTTGAAAGATGACGCTTCACAGAAGAGAACAGAAAGATGCTACTTCGCGCTCCGGGCGAAGAGATGCCATTTCGCGTTCGAGCTGAAAAATGCCTCTCAGCGCGTAATTCTAAAGGATGATTTTTTTTGTGTTTAAAGTGACACTATGTTAATGTTTCATGTTTTGAAACTAAAATTAGATGCTCTTCCAGAATCTGGCATTGAAATGAAGATGATAATTAGAGTTGAAGCTTCCAACGCAGAAATACTGGGCACTGATGTGTCATCTTTCAGTTCGTAACGTGAAGTGGCACCTTCCTGCTCTGTTCTGCAAAGGGATATCTTTCAGCACTGGCCCGTGAATATGTAAAATGATATATAAAAAAACTTGTCTCTTGAGGACTTCATTGAACATTTTAATGGAAAAAAGGGAAGAAAAGTATTAATATAATTTTTATCTATGATTTTAAATCAGTTTACACGATAAATCTAGCTAATTGTACCGAAAACTGTTCTAAGTGAATGTGATATAATTAATAAAAAATGAAATTATAATTTGAAATTGTCTAATTATTTCGTGCCTTTATAAAAGCCTCCGAAAAATTAGGCCTATGGCCACCCTGAAGGTAGATCCGGCACTAAATTAAGTATGAAATGTATACTAGTTATAGTCAACTTTGGGCCTAGGTCGCATTTGTAACAGATTTCTCGTGCTTTGATACGTATTCACTGTAAATTTCAAGAGGATCGGATGAAAATTGACAAAGTTATCGCGAAATAACACAATTTTCCAAATTAAAAATATTCCATTTCACGCCGATGAGGGCTGAACGTGCGCATGGACCGTCCAGTGCACGCGCATTGGCCGTTTAAGGCCAAATCGCAATATTTTTGGACGGAAATTGGATGTTTTTCAATTTTTTTAATATTTCCAGTTCCTTTCGGGCCTTGATAGTATAACCTACGGATTTCTAGTGCTTCGATACGTATTCACTGTAAATTTCAAGAGGATCGGATAAAAATTGAAAAAGTTATCGCTAAATAACACATTTTTCAAAATTCCAAATATTACGTTTCCGTTTAATAAGGCCCGCGCATGCACATTGACCCAATTCGGCCGAATCGCAATATTTTCGGGCGGAAATGGAAGGTTTTTTCAATTTTTTTAATATTTCCAGTTTCTTTCGCGCCTTGATAGTATAACCTACAGATTTCTAGCGCTTTGATACGTATTCAC